TATGCGATTCGATTTGGCATGTATCGCTATCGAATCAACGCTGCCTTTGTGTCCGTAAAGCTCTAGTTGTGGAATAATGCTTGCCGAAAATCCATCTTCGCTCTCTGAGTATTTCCATAATCGCACTGTTCTGTCGAGTCCAGAGGATACAATCTGATTTGGTGAGATCATTCTCGCGCTCCTGATCGAAGCAGTATGTCCACCCTCACCGGCAGAGGGGGACACAGCAATCGTCTCCGAAGACATATTCCATATCCTCAACAGCCCATCATAGCTTGCTGACAATATCTTTTCCTGGCCCGCATTTATAGATCCACCTCCAAATACCGACGTGCCAGACAAAATATCCACAGCACTGATCCAATCGTCGTGCTGGAACGAGGCTACATGCAGTGGCGGAACAAGCGCACGAACATACTCAACATCAAGAGTAGTTTCGGCAGAAATGCCATTCTCTGTTAAATACTCGTCGATAGATGTGCGTAGGTATATGCCGTTTATTAAAAACTCGAACGGAATCGGCTTCTCGCTGCCCAGAAGGTTGTTCACCAGGGTTGACAGAGCATATCTTCGAAGGCCTTCCACGGCGCAAAATCAACACATGCAAGCATTAGCCCATATATTACCCAACTAAACAATACTTCAATCATCCCCCACAAGACTTACCAGTAGGAACAAGTATCGGGCCGGTGCCTTCGGGAAGCGCTATATCTTCATGCCGCGATGTGAGCTTCAGTCGTACCTGTCTGTGTGCTTGCTGCGATGTCGACCCACTTGCCTCCACAGAGGAATCATTTGTTCCGTTCATATTTTGAGGCACTGGTAATAGTTGATGCCCTTCACTCATTGATTATATTTCAATTAGTTGTGGTGGTTGTACGCGCAGAGTGGTGATACCTCGCAATCGTGTGGGAATTTTTTTACGGTGGGCGAGACGGCAAAATGTGCAATAACTAGTTATAGGGAAAGCTTAATTACTCCAGCTGGTTGAGTCAGCTGCAGTTGACTCTCGTAGATGATGAAATAAATAAAATATGAATATGAATGATAGAAATGCGGCTGATATGCCGAAATACCTGCTAGACATAGGAACTATAAATACAATATAATATATTTCAAGATATCCGCGACGTCCTTCGAATTTCGACAATAGCCCTCCTCCGATGGTCTGAATCCGCAAACAGCGCCTTGATCAGGTCCGTCACCTCCTCCGGTGAAAACTCGAGCTTCAATTCCCCCTCCGTCCACAAATATTTGATATCTGCTAGAGAGCTCTCTAAGATGTTAATCAAATACTGGAACTTAAGCCAATTCGGAACATACACCGCTGTCATCGGTACCACCTCCATCTGTCCAGCAGCCGTATCTTGTTCCGTATGAGGTTCCGGCAAAAACAAGTCTTCGAGTTTGGAGACATGGTTGCAAAACCCGGCAAGTCGTTGTGATTCAGCGTCCGAAATATCACTCAGGTCCTCGATGTCGAGGATCATTTTGTTGATGACCGTTGATAGCAGTGAGCCGATGGATTGAAGAAGTGCAGAAGGTGAGAGGATAGACGCCCACTCTTTATGAATATATCGCATGCGGTCAACTGTTGCGCTGACTGCGTTTTCACATTCCCTTAGATACGGCTGCTCAGCACAGTTGGCAAATCCCTGGCTTCCGTCGAGCAAATCCGATAATATTGTGCGTTGTGACTGCATTTCCTTGCTGTACGCAATCTTACCAAATTTTTCGACGGTTTCAATATCCGACGTTAATCTGGAAAGATTGTGCGTTTCTATTAGAGTTCTTAGTTGTTCTGCGAAATACATGCTGTCGTTGTAGAGGTACATCTGGCCAGCAGCGAATTTTTGGGAGTAGAACATCGGCGCTACAGCTTTGAACATCGCAATGACCAAGGTAGGAAGCCCGAGCAGACTAGGGCCAGATGAGGCAATTTGTAGTTTCGAATATCTTTAGGCAAGGTTGGTTAGTAAAATTTTAACAAAGTACAACGTTTAAGCAGAGTCAACTTACTCTGGTGATGCAAGTTTTTCAGAATCCGCAACTTGTGCAGCAATTATGCTCATAATCGAATCAGGAATATCTGTTATTGTATAGAGTTCCCTTAATGTAACTTCACGCCTAGGGGTTTGTTTCCCATCTCCATCTCCGTTCATATGTTCCGCAGATTTTGATGTAGGATCAGGTGGTCGCGTCGCATCGTCTGCATCCTCAGCCTCGTCACCCCAACCCCAAGCGTCCTCATCTATATCCCCTCCATCACCGGTTGGCTTATTATTTTGCATGTCTTGTTCTAAAGTATCAGGCTCATCAAGCCCCCAGGCGCTGAAGTCATCATCTTCCTCATTAACAGGCTCCTTTGGAGCGGTAATATCGGTGCTTTCTTCGTTATCACTAGTCCATTCGGCATTCCAGTCATCTGCATTTTTAGAAAACACGTTATCCTTTTGAGACACATGTTCAGTTTCCACCCTTTCTACCTTTCGTGTCTCCCCATGGCTTGTAGAAAGGGTAACTCGGACTTCATCAAGCGATTTTATTCGTCGCTGGTTGAGCCATAGGCGAGGTATTTTTTGTTTGAAAGAGTTTAATTCATGAGATCCAGGACATCCAATTTCGTCCAGGGCTTGCGAGAATTTATGGGTGTGGTCTAATATCACCTGAAACTCTCCGATTCCGTCAACGCCTGAGGGGAATGAGGGTAACAGCTTGCTCGAAACCAGTGAGGACACCATAGGTGAAGCAAGTTTTGTATTAAGGGGGACAGTGATCGCAGACGGTAGGTGTTGCTGAAGGTATTTGAAAAGGGATAAAAGCATATCAAAAACCTTCGTTGGTTCATTCGTGGCAGTTTGTGATAGCACTCGTATGGAATCTCCGTCAAATGAGAGGGTTGACGCCTCAAATCCAGTTGGTAGTAAGATTGGATCTAGGATAGACGTGTATATATCCTTAAACAAAGAATCGACAATGGAGCCCAGCATGTCCAATTTTGTAAGAGCAAGGAGAACCTTCTCGAGGTTTGATGGGGAATCTTTTCACCAAGTCAGCAAAAAAACAGAAAACCTAGTTGAAAAAGCACAATTATCAACGGACCGGGATCACCAGCAGTCACAGTCATTTGTCCCAACTCGGAATCAATTTTGACTAACGAATCCCACTTCCGACGCAAAACAGTTGCCAAAGCGGCGCGCAAAGCGGACACATTTTCAGATAGTATTCGGAGAACAGGAGTGGTCGATGGTAACCCGGTGGTTTTCAATAACATCTGGATCTCCTCAAACAGCCCAATAGCAGATTCCAGCTCTCCCTGCTCAATTGCCATGTGTGCAGAAGAAATGCGATAGTCGATAGTTCGAATATCCTCGAGGTTTCGGGTCACAGCCTCAGAGAAGGCGATCTCATTCTCCAACAGTTCTACCTTCTTGGCAGCATCCGTGACTTGATTCTGAAGCTGTTGCACCTTTTCATGCTGCCGAACAATCTCTCTTGCCGTCGACCTTGACCGCTCGATTTCCTCATGGAGCTGTTTCGCTTGGGATATCCATCCATCAACGTCAGACGCGGTTTCTCGACTGAGGGTAGATATTTCGTTCTAGCGGAACACAATCAGTTAGGATTCAGGAGCATCAAGGACAAATATACAACGCGCAGCTCATATGAGGTTCATACCTCAACTTCCTCCCTAGCCTTGGAGATCAGCTGAAGCGCTTTGGTGGCAGCCGTGGAAGGAAATTCTGCGGAAACAATGTTTTCGGCCTCGGGAAACGACCCGTCGGTTAGTGATTTGTAGATAGCTTGACAAACATCTGCCTCAGAAACCTTTGGAGCCATTGCAAAACAGCTACAAAACTACTAGAAACCACCCTTTGTGCCCGATGATGGCCGGGGGTGCTGCACGCACAAGCCAGCCTTCCGCGTCCAGGCCACTTAACCAAGATGTTGCCAATGAAGCCTCACTTCCTAGCTGTGACAATAGCTTCATGAAAGTACCCACAAGCCTGCGACCTATGCCGCAGAGAGCTACGGCGCTGTGTATATCTCATTTAGAGCAATGCTGTTTGAGATGTTGTATTGATGCAACCTGGGTAGAGAGGTAAAGTTAGTTAGGAGAGAACAGCGAGAAGTTGGTTGATCCAGCGCCAAGAACCAACGTCACTCTTTTCCAAATGGTGGGGGGGTAGTTATGCCGCCGCCTGCGGGACATCAGAATTTTTACGCTCGACAGACGCTGAAATGGGGGGAGAAACGTGTACAATCTATTTAAATAGCTCGAGGGCAAAGGCTTAAGAATCTCTGTATGTTCTTTTTTTATTTACTTTGGAAACTCTAAATACAGGTGGTTTGACTTCGACTCCTATTTATAGAAAATAGTCAACTATAAAAACACTTGTCCTCGTCCTCGATTGACGGCGAATGCCCGTTGGAATCATCAACTCCTAAGCGAAGTCAGAAAATAGACACCGTGTCTCTCTCCCGACAAGAAAGAATAGCTGGGGCGTGGGTTTTCAATGTAAGTGAACAGAAAATCTGATGTCCTCGATGTTCATGTTCATGGGTGATGTCCTTGAATGGATAAATATCAGTCCATATTTTACTCCTCAATTTTTTCTTTTTTTTATGTGTTTTAAATTCTTGATTAGTGCTGCATAAAGCCCCCTCTTATCCTCGCTTCAAGAGCTTTAATTTGGTTACCACGTCTATGAACAGACAGGTATTTATGCCTCGTGCATGTGTGGTCCCTGCTTTCTCTGGGTATCCGCATCTGCAAGAAATACTGATTCCTTATATTGTACCACAACCCCGGTGGAGGTGGAATATCGCTATTTACGATGTTTTTGTGATATCTTGCGATTACTGTTGCTCGGGTCTATGTGGCACGATGGCTGATGCATGAATGAGAATATACTAACAGTCCCTAGTGCTTGAAACGATCTCCGATTTCGAATTATTACAAAAGGTCTTATTACGGAGGATTTGCAACACAGGTGAGGATGGGCTCCGTCAGACAAGAAAATTACTTTCGGCAACTCCAAAGATTCAAACCAGACTATTCGCCTTCCTACTTCACCCAATATGAGTCCGAGAGGACGGGTATGCGGGTGGTGGTCATCGATCGACAAGGCCCAATAGTTGAAGGGTACTTTGTCCTAGCGACGGAGATTCATGATGATTCTGGTTCACCTCACACTTTAGAGCATCTCTGCTTCATGGGTTCCAGAAGCTATCAATACAAAGGATTTCTTGACAAGCTTGCTACCAGAGCTTATTCAAAAACAAATGCCTGGACTGCTACGGATCACACGGCGTACACATTGGACACGGCAGGATGGGAAGGTTTTGCTCAAATCCTTCCCGTCTACCTGGAACATATCATTGCCCCTACATTGACTGATGCTGGGTGCTATACTGAAGTGTACCATGTGGATGGCACGGGTCATGATGCTGGAGTAGTATATTCAGAAATGCAGGGTGTGCAGAATACTTCTTCCGAATTAATAGATCTGAAAGCCAAACGCCTGTTGTATCCAGAAGAGATAGGTTTCCGCTACGAAACAGGCGGAATGATGGAGCAACTCCGAGTTCTGACAGCTGACCGTATCCGTGCGTTCCACCGGGAAATGTACCAGCCCAAAAACTTGTGCCTCATCATCGCGGGAGAAGTGGACCATGACAACATGCTACAAGTTCTGAATCGGTTTGAAAGCACTGTACTTGACATCATCCCAAGTCCTGATTCATTGTTCAAGAGACCGTGGGTAGAGTCACCACAAATTCCGACGCTTGAAAAGTCTGTGATTGAGCGGGTGGAGTTTCCGGAGACAGATGAATCTTTCGGCGAGGTGGAGATTCGATTTCTGGGTCCAGATTGCACTGATATCGTTTTAAGTAAGTGTTATATGATTCGTATCGTTCTAGAAAATATGTAGCTAATACCGCGTAGGTTCGGCGCTCAGTGTTTCTCTCATGTATCTTGCGGGTTCGTCTGCTACGGTCCTTGAGAATACATTGGTCCAAAAAGAGCAGCTAGCAAGCGCTGTCTATTATACCACATCCGACTCCCCTAGGACTGAGATTTCTTTCACCCTTACCAGCGTAGCCACCGAAAAGCTAGAGCAAGTGCATCGTCGATTCTTCGAGGTGTTAAAGGAGAACATGCAAAAGGAAGTGGATATGGAATATATGCGGGAGTGCGTGCGACGACAAAAACGGAGCTGGAAATTTGCCACTGAAACGTCCGCCTTCCCTTTTGCCGGACGTGTAATAACCGACTTCTTGTTCGGCAAAAAAGATGGTTCTACTCTACTAGACATCGCAAGTCTGAGTGAGTATAACGAGCTGGAGAGATGGAACGACAGCCAATGGCGCAGTTTTATCAGGAAATGGATGTCAGAAGCATCACACGTTTCAATCTTGGGTGTACCATCCTCCAAGCTTGCCGCCAAATTGAAAGCGGATGAAGAGTCGAGAGTTGCGTGGCGGAAAAAGACACTTGGAGAGGAGGGGTTAAAGAGACTGGCCGAAAAGCTGGAACAGGCCAAAGCTGAAAACGACAAAGAGATACCGCAGAGTGATCTATCTAAGTTCAAGGTTCCGGGCACAGACTCAATTCCTTTCCTCTATACTACAACGGCAAAATCCGGGCTCGCACTCAGATCGGGTCATCCTGATAATCGAATTCAAAATTTGGTTGATTCCGATGCACCAAATTCACCTCTGTTCATCCATTTTGAACATATAAACAGCAACTTTGTCCAGGTTTTCCTAACCATCTCCACGAAGTCGGTACCGGTAGAGCTCCGTCCGCTTCTAGCCGTTTATACAGAAGCCTATTTCAGCATCCCCGTTCTTCGGAATGGAGAGGAAATCCCTTTTGAGCAGGTCATAGTCGAACTGGAGAGGGACACAGTTGGATATAACATGGATGTTGCATTTGGTAACCCAGAAATGCTCATAATTACTTTCCAGGCGGAGCCAGAGAAATATGAGGCAGTCATATCATTCATCAATGAACTTTCATGGGAGTCCATATTTGACGTCGAAAGGCTCAAGGCGATTACTGTTCGCCTGCTATGTGATGTTCCGGATGCTAAGCGGAGTGGGAATGACATGTTGGATGCAATGCAGATAATGGTCAAGCATACCCCTGAATCAATTATCCGTGCCAGGAGTACTCTCGTCAAAGGCCTGTACCTAAAGCGGACTAAGCAGCAGCTGGAAAAGAATCCTGAAGTTGTCGTTGCTCGAATGGAGGAGCTCAGGAAGCAACTATTTCGCTTCGAGAATTTACGCGCCTTTGTCATCGCGGATATGGAAAGGCTTCGGAACCCTTCTTCGGCGTGGAAACCATTCATCGATCGACTTGATGCTTCTAATTCGCTTATTCCGATAACGAAGTTGCGAGATCGACTGACAGAGGCTGCTAAAAATCCAGGGACTATCTCGTATATCGTTCCCATGTCAACAATCGACTCCTCCTTCGCCAATACTAGTGCCAAGGGACCGGATTCTTACGATCACCCCAGACTCCCAGCCCTTCTGGTGGCTATGGCCTATATGAACGCGGTCGAAGGACCATTGTGGGTGGCCATCCGGGGTACTGGCCTTGCATATGGCTCTCGATTCCGGTACAATGTCGATGCAGGACTTGTGCATTTCAATGTATACCGGTCACCGAATGCATACAAGGCATTTGAAGCAGGCAAGAAAATCGTCGAGGACCATCTGTGTGGGAAGGTGCCGTTTGACCCGCTGATGACGCTCGAGGGCGCCATTAGTAGCATTGTGGTTGATTTTGTTAATGAACAGACGACCCCGGCGAGTGCTGCGCAGGCCAGTTTTGTTCGACAGGTTATTCGGGAGTTGCCTAGTGACTATCAAGAGAAGATATTAAAGAAGGTGAGGGAAATTGAGATTGGGGAGATTAAAGAGGCTCTGAGGGATATTATCTTGCCCCTTTTTACGCCGGGGAAGTCGGATATCGTGGTTACCTGTTCGCGGGTACTTGAAGAGGTAGGATATATACACCCCCTCCGTTTGTTTTCAATATAAAACTTGCTACTTTTTCCTGACGATTATCTATAGCCTATCAAAAAGGGATTCGAGTCTGTGGGATACAAACCGGAAGTACGAAGTCTGAAGTTCTTTGAGGATGATTACGGGTTGAAGCTCGACGAAGGAGAAAAGGATGGGAATGGGAAGGGGGAGGGGAAGGACGAGGAGGAGGAATCCGGAAGTGAAAATGACAGTGAGGATGAAGATGGAGATGGCGATGATGAAATGAATTGAAGACTTAACTACGTGCTGCGTACTAGAGCCTATTTAATGTCCAGGGAAGGTTTTGGTGGTAATGGGTTATTTAACTAATGTCAATTGCAGATTGCGAGATATAGACTAGTTATTTAAGGGAATGGAATAATAGATTTATAGTTGCCTTCAGAGTTTGGTAATTTATGTTTTCCCTGATATTTAGCTAGGAATAATAAGCTATAATAATAATAGAATCAATGGATATTTTAAAAACTTCATGTTCACTCTTCACTCTGATTAAGATAGTTACATATTTACGGCTGGTGTCGCCGTTTGCGGGCTTGGCATCCAGTGCATCCAAAAGGTGGCATTAATCATCAAAACCCGCCCTAACTAAGTTGGCTATTTAACTAACTAGTTAACTATTCAGAACAGAAACAACAGAAGACGAACGAACTTCTTCCTCTCTCCTGCTGCCACCATCCACCAGCATCACGGCAGCAGTCTGGCAATGAATATCCTACAGGTATGCCTTTAATCCCCAACCTATATCAAGATGGCGTGTTGAGACGAAGCTGGCGTATGTAGGGAAGGCAACCATACTGATCTGAACACCTATGCTATAGCAACTCGCACAGCTCCTCGATCGCCCATTCTTCCCCTGGAAGAAGGTGATCGTGGGCTTTTCCGTCGGGCAGTATCTCATCGAGGGATTCCTGTCTCTCCGACAATTCAGGGTACTCCAACAGACGAAGCCGCCAAAGGTGTTGGCGGAGGAGGTTTCGCAGTCTGTCTTTGATAAGAGTCAGGTACGCTTACTTTTTTTTTTTTAACACCTGTTTGTTTCTTACGTATTTTCCTTCTCTTGGTCTGCGTTTCCATCTGACATCTCCAATGTTCCCTTCTGCTGCAGGCATACGGACGAGCAAAGGCCAAATTCGGGTTCGTGTCCGCTCTCTATGGCCAAATCCAGAACCTTGCATTCATCTATTATGACGCCCTTCCCAAGCTGTGGGCTATAACCGGCCTCCTCCTCACCCGCTACATGCCCGCACGCTTCACGGGTGAGATCTCCCATACGCTAGCTTTCGTCTTTACATTCAACATCATCACCACGATCCTCTCCCTGCCCACATCGTACTACAGCACCTTCGTCATCGAGGAGAAATTCGGCTTCAACAAGCAAACCATCAAGCTATGGGTGACGGATATGCTCAAGGGACAATTTCTGGGTATCGTACTGGGAGCACCAATTATCAGCGCCATCTTGAAAATCGTCAAGAAGACTGGCACCAGCTTCTTCTATTACCTCTGGCTGTTTGGCATCTTTGTCCAGCTGTTCGCCATTACTATCTACCCAATTGCCATCTTGCCGTTGTTTAACAAATTGACACCGCTGAAACCTGGGATTCTCAAGACTGGCGTTGAGGATTTAGCTAGGAGACTCAAGTTCCCTCTCAAAGAGCTGCATGTGATTGACGGAAGCAAGAGGAGCGCTCATAGCAATGCGTATTTCTATGGCCTCCCGTGGAAGAAGCATATCGTCATTTACGATACCCTGATCGAGAAGAGCGAACCTGAGGAAGTCGTTGCGGTTCTGGGACATGAGCTGGGACACTGGAGTCTTAATCATACTACAAAGCTGTTTGGAATCGCTCAGGTATGTCAGAACCGCTCCAACTTTCCTTTTTTTATTTTCTTTTTTATTTATTTATTCCCCCCTCCCCCCCGGGATTAATGATTTACTGACTTTGAATTCCGTTCTACATAGTTCCACATGTTCTACATCTTTGCCCTTTTCTCCGCCTTTGTGAACAACAAATCGCTGTACCAGGACTTCGGATTTGCCAATGAAATGCCCATTATGATCGGTTTCATTCTATTCTCTGATGCGCTTGCACCTATGGACGCTGTGGTGAAGCTATTGATGAACGTTCTAAGCAGAAAATTTGAATTTGAAGCTGGTAAGGGTTTTCCCCACTCGAAAAAAATAAATATTTATTTGCCGCCAATCGCAGTTAACACCATTTCTTTTTGTCCTTTTAGACGCATTTGCCGTAAACCTCGGATACTCCACTGAGCTCGCCAAGTCGTTGCTCAAGCTCCAGATCCAAAACTTGTCCACCATGGACGCAGATTGGATGTATGCCAGCTATCATTACTCCCACCCAATTCTTCCAGAAAGACTTGCTGCACTTGGGTGGAGCGGGGGGAAAGTGACTGGGGGGAAGTATGAAGATAGCGAGAAGCCAGTAAAGACTGCTGATCGGGAGTTGTAGGTTGAACTGAGGCTGTCAGGGGTGTAGAGTTACATCGGTTTAATATATTGAGGATATATAATTTAAATTGGGACAAAACAAAGCGTGCTGTCTGTTATTTTAGGTAGTGTGTTGTTTTGCTTGATATGAGGGAAGTTTTAGGGGAAATCTTACCAGAAAGGAGCGAGCGGGTGGTTGACTCGCTCAAATATACCTAGGAAGAAACATCCCCGCTGCTTGACCAAGGTGATGAAGTAACGAAACAACCAAATCACATTTCACCACTCCCATCTCATGTCGCAGCCGCAGTCTTAGACTTGACCTTCTTCTCCGCCTTCCGCCTCTCCTTTTTCCTCCTCTTCCGCTCCTCCTTATCAATCCCAACCTCCCCACCTCCCACCACCCCATCACCCGCATCAACATCCATCCGCATCCCCACTGGCACCCGATCCCCCTCCTCAACATCCCCATCCCCATCCCCATCCCCATCTCCAGCATCCACAACCTCCTGCTCCCTCTCCCAACTTTCCAAATCCTGCCACCCATCATTCACCACCTTCCCCTTCCCACTCCAGTCCTCCCCATCCCCCTCCATCATCTCCGACATTGACAAAACTGGCCCCCCATCCTCCGGCTTCGCAAATGTTAAATCCCTCCCCAACACCTCCCCTGCCAATCCCGCCTGCACACGCTTGAGATTGTGTATGATCAGATTGGGCGCTGAGCCTGTGCAGGCGGATGTGGGGCCGTGGGCGGTTAGGATGGAGTTTGGTTGGAGGCTGGGATCTGTGGTTGCGCGGTTTAGGTAGGCGGTTAGGAATTCGTGGGCGGCGGAGGGGGAGATGCGGTGGGTTTTAGATTCTGAGGGGTGGATTATTGTTGGCGGAAGGGGGTTGGGGGTTGATTGGAAGGCCATTTCGGCGTTTTTTAAGCACCTGTTCAGGGGATTATCCCCTTATTTCCTTTTGGTTCGCGATTTGCGCCGGTCGGTTGTGAGGCCAGAGAGAAGCGTAGACGGTGGCTGTTTCGGAGATGGGCTTTTATTTTATTGTTTTTGTATGTGAAGAGTTCTGAGGATGAATGAATGCTGTGGGGAGTATTCTGTTTGGTTAATTTGGGGGAGAGATATTTCAGATATAGTTATGGAGAAGAAATAAATTTAATGAATCGTATAAAAGATATTTGTTTTAACTACTCTTTTGTAAAGATCTCGGACAAAATTTTTCCGAACCCTATTCTCGTTGGCACTTCAACTTCAGCACCTCTGCGGATTTCTGTATAATTCAATTCCAAACAACACTCTGCACCATCGATACAGCCATAGAGGTCCTCAATTGAATCGCCCTGCAAAGATGTCCTATCTACACTGCGCAAGAACATCAACGATTCTCTCATCCAAATTCCTCCTTCAATCTCTCCCGCGGTACCTACATATTTCCCTCCCTTCCCCGAAACACTCCCAATATCAAGCTCCTTTCCAGCAACAAAACTAACGATCCTAATTCAAAATAGAATCCACAACAAATCTATCCCCTCTCTCCTCACAGAATCTCAATCCCGCCCTTTCTCCCATCTCCTCTCCCACCAACACATCCCCGCACAACAATCGCCAACTAACACATCCCCCTTCCGCCTCTTTCAGCCATCCATTACCCCCGCGCAACCAACGACAACAACGCTCTCTCCATCTGTATCCCTGTTAGCATTAATTCCCGGTGCGACTGCTCGCCCATTCTCCGCCTCAGCAGCCCTGGGCGGAAAGCGGGATACATACAACCCCAGCCGGAGGGTACAGAAACGCCGCCACGGTTTCCTGGTGCGATTGAAGACGAATAGTGGACGGAAGATTTTGGCTAGGAGACGGGCGAAAGGGAGGAAGTTTTTGAGTTGGTAGAGAGAGGGGAGTGAATTGGTTTGTTGAGATGCTGTATTGGGTTTTCAGTTTTTGTTGAATTTTGTGTTCAATATTTTTCGTATGCCCGGCTGGATTTTTTGCTTTTCTTTCCCCTGTTTTTATTGTGGGACGAGGTGGTTGTGGCTGCAGTGAGAGTCTTGCTTTTGTACGATATATGTGTGCAGTATGGCGAAAGAACTGTGGAGCGGATATAGAGTGGGCAAAAGGGATGCATGCATGATTTTTTGGCGTTACTTTTTCCCTATCTCATCTCATCTTCTCTCTTCTTTTACCCAGGAACTAAATTCAATTTTACCACACTCTGGTTTATTTTAGCCTCCCAACCTCAGGAATATAGATGGCGACTTAGACATTTTGGTTGCAAACCTCATTTATGCTGGAGGGTGTTGCAAGTTTAATCTCCAATCTTCATATGCTGGCCTTTGGCTTTCGCTCCACCGCAAGCTTCCTATACGGGTGGGTCACAGCATTGTTCGTGTCTTCCTGGATGTTGACCAGCAACTCCTGTGTCTCGTGTTGGGAGGTAGTCGTTGCATAGCTCCTTAGACCGTGTATCGTAGGGTGAATACTTCACCCTCATTTTCTTCTATTTTCTTCCGACGTCCTGTATGTCGTAGCAAGATTATTTATTAATTTCTTTCTCCCTACCCTATCCATACGCTTCTACGTAGGAAGAAAAGAAAACGTTAAGTGTAACTGTCCAGGAGAGTCACAAAATCTATGATATACCTGGAGGGGCTCAGTTTATCTGTCTATATCCCCACAGTTATGACCAGGAACCCATTCGACTAATGCCCTTCTTAAGACCAGCCCGAACACTGTAGGATACAGGTGGCGGTATTGTAACATGGTGTTTTTAGAAAAGCGGCTTATGACTTGACTTGAGAGTTGATCGATCTTGACCTGATATTCAGAACAAAATCATCACCGACGGCTGACATTTTGACATAAAGACAAACAAAGACGTAAGAAGAGCCGGTAAAACTAGAGAAACACGACTCAAAACACGTTTGAAGAAACAATAAGGAAAGAAAATGAAGCCCTGCCACGAAAATTTTCTATATCTAACTAAAACCAAGTCAAAGGGGACTCGTTTGTCACATAACTGACAAGACAAGACGTGCGACATGACTGCAGATGAAGCGGAAGCTGGTGGATGCATAGAGAATGTTAAGGGTGCTGGGCATCAGCTGGCTCCTTTTAAACAATATTTTTCTTTAAAAAAAATTGGTGGTGGGGGGGGTTCTTTTCAATGATATTTACTCCTCAGGCTATGCTTTCATTTCCCCTACCTTCACTCCCTTGCCCTTTGCTTTACCTCCCTTTTCAACCCCTCAACATGAGAGCAATGGAGACTGAATTGATGGTTGGGGAGAGATAGGAGTTCTGCGTGGAAGGGGAAAATTAATATATCAAGGAGACGCTCAGTCAACAATAGGTTCAAGAGTGTTACCACTAAATATAAAACCGTTAGTAAGTATATCTCAAATTAGCAAAGCAGAGAAACAATAAAAAGAACAAAACCAGGTGGGAAAGGGGATAAACCTACGCAACAATATTCGCCCATCCAATCAAACGCCAATGCTTATCAATCCGTCGACTCAGCGCAATCTTCTCCCCAATCTCCGTGCACGCAGGGCTCGTCAAGCTCAATTTGGCCGCATCAGCCTTGACACCCATTACTTTTGCGCCCGTCGCTGTCGATCCAATGTTCACCATCAGCACCTCGTTCTTTGCCAGCTTGGATACCTTCGCCTGCTTGCCATCGGCAGTTTTGACACCCAGCAATCTTCGCAGGAGGAAATAGTTCACTTCAATCTCAGTGTAAATGGCCGGTAGGCGGCCTCGATGCCCTAGGACGAAACCAAGCAGACGATCGGCACGGCAGAGTGTTGGGTCGACGCGTGTGCCTACACCGATCAGACCGCCTGGTACAGCGAATTTGAGGTCATTTTGTTCAGCTAGTAGTGAGACGACACGGCTGAAGATGGGTCGGCATTGGATCTTGCCCTGATCATCCTTGGTGACAATACCGGGGCGGATTTCGATCTCGTCGCCTAGCTTCAGCACGCCGGTGAGGATACTACCACCAGCTACACCACCGCGTAGCTCTTCGATTTCCGCGCCGGGCTTGTTGACATCAAAGGAGCGGATGATGATCATGTGCGGGGCAGCTTGGAAGTCGCGGAGGGGCACTGGGATGTGCGAGACTAGATATTCGTTAACGGCGTCGATGTTGTATTTCAGCTGAGCGGAGATGGGGATGATGGGGGATCCGTCTGCGACGGTGCCACGGATGAATTTCAATATTGACTGGTAGTGTTGAAGGGCGCCGTCTTCACGCATCAGATCGACTTTGTTCTGGAGGATGATGATATGGTTGAGTTTCATGATCTCTATGGCTGCCAGATGCTCTGAGGTTTGGGGCTGGGGGCAGGATTCATTGCCTGCAATTAAGAGAAGCGCAGCGTCCATGACAGCTGCTCCTGAAAGCATGGTGCTCATGAGAATGTCGTGACCAGGGCAGTCGACGAAGCTGTATTTTTTTTTTTTTTTTTTCCATTGTGTAAGTTTTGGTATCTTTCGAGGAATGAATTATCGATATTTCGCCTCCATTACTTCGGTCGGGAATGGGCAGTTGAGAATAAAACTTACGACACGTGTCTGAGGAGACGATATCTCCCAGTACATCCCTCTCTTTCACAAAGGGGGTCCACTTCCTTCTCACTCTTGTAACTCCGGTAGCACCCGGGCCGGGGACACTCCTCACTGTCACATTTATAAATCTTGGCATTGGCATAACCCAGCTTGATGGTAATATTTCTCTCCTGCTCGTTCTTGAATCTGACCGTCTGCACTCCAGAGATAGCCTTTACCACCGTCGATTTGCCGTGTGCGACATGTCCAATGGTCCCAATATTGATAGTAGCTTGTCGTGCGATGATTTCAGGTGTCAATGCCGTGAGGATAGACAGGTCTAGAGTTTGTGGATCTGGCTGTTCTGGAAGCTCTGGTTTCTTCTCTTGAGGCATTGGGGGAACCGAAGTCCGCTGTTTTAGAGAGGATTTGAGGGAGTTGGTTTCTTGTTCTTGTTCGAGGGGTTCTTGATCGTCAACATCATCGACTGCGTTGTTGGTATTGCCAAGGACGGGGGAGCCTGGTTGGGACTCTTCGTCGGAATAATCGCTATGCGTAGCCATGATGGCGGTTGATGGAAAACTCGAGCTTTAGATACGGTGTGCTTCTGGAAATCTGTATGTTGGCAAATAACAAAGTGGGATTGTTTTAAGAGATATTTTTGGCGCGCGCTGTCTGTGGGATTCTGGGTAGCTGGCACTGACAGACGTAGCTAAGGGTATATATATTTCCCTTCTGCTGCGAGTGACAAACAGGATACACAGAGTATCAAAGAAGTTCCTCAATGGTATTGCGAGGGCAGCATGGGTGTCGATTGCTGGTGGTATACGCAGTACTAAGTGTCTGGTTGTTAGGTGGGACGTTGAAGTCTTCGGGCTCGATCTTTCGCCCGTTGACTTTTTTTGTCCTGGATGAGATCAGAGAGGTCACGTGTGGTGACTCATCAACCCTGAGTCGATACATCCCGTTCGGCGTTTCTCAACCAATATATATATATTAGAGAAAGGCTCCTTATAGGTATGTTATTTTGTTATTTGGATTAATGGTGATATGGATATGATGTACATTAGTTTTTGTGTTGGGTGATATTGCGATAACTACTCATACGAGCGAATAGAGAAGATCAGGTTTTTGGTTTCTCACAGATGGATATATATATATGAATGATAGATTTAAAACAGATATATTTATTAAGTTAAGGAAGGTTAGGTAAGCGGAGGATAACAGGATTAATTTTCATTCTCCGATTCACTGTTGTCATCATCATCTGCTTCCTCCTCCTGCTCACTCTCAGATAAATTACTATCATCTATCTCGCCGTTATCAGGCGCCAGCATAATGAAAGCCTTCATGCATGTGATCCTGTTGCCAGATTCATACGTGCCCAGAAGCTTCCCAACCTGAGCCACGGCGCTGGTAGCTGATGGCAAGGCCCCGTTCTGGCCCTTGGAACTTGATTTTAAGTTCCTCACTGTTTTAGCCGATTCTGCTTTAGAGCTGTGGAATTCGCCCTCAGTTAGCATCCATATCTTCACGGCGCCATCACTGCCGCTAGTAACTACTAGGAAGGTGCTGTTCCATCCCTGAGCTGTGACGGGCAGCGATTCGAAATCCTTGATGCGGCCTGATTGTCCATGATCTTTTCCTCCTAGTTGTGCTATTAGTTGAGCTGCTGGGATGGCGGGCTTTGAATTATCTGTAGACTTTGTTTGGGTTGGGTCACTGGCTTTAGTAGAGTAAAACAAAATTCGCCCATCCTCGGTTGACAAGGCGAGCAATTGCCGTTTACTTGCACCGGACATGCCAACATCGATGTACTTCATCTGATGAAGCTTCGTTCGTGGAGAAGGAAGTATGACACGGGTGGGTACCGAGTCCTTTTAACGAAAAAGTCAGTAAGCTTCCCAAGATACAAACAGCCAGCCCCAAAGGAGGATACAAAATAGGTATCAAAAATGACAAGACTCACAATTCCAAATACCACAGCACCTCGTTCAAATGCAACAGTAAACTCCTCCCCTTCAAAGTCCCAGGATATCCTTCGCCCTTCACCTGTACTATGCTTCCCCTCCAGAACTGTCTCGAGAATATGTCTATCAAAATTCAATACTCCAGCTCTTTTTCCAGTGACCAAATTCCACAGCCTCATGCACTTCTCCCCCCTCCCCACCGTAAGCATGAGCTTCATACTAGGATGCACTGCGAAATCATTTACTCCAGCCGGAGCGCCCCCTGGCGGCGCAGTATCACCACTGGGCCTGTCTTGAACCTTTGGGCGCGGCGCTTTTATCGTCGAAACAACAGACCAATCCCGCGTCCTAGTCACAGCTATCGTATTATCCTCCGCTGCTGATAGCAATTTTGATCCCGTGGGGAAATACAGCGCCGTGATGGCGGAGGAGTGATGCATTAGGGAGCCCAGCTCACGGTTCTTAGGGTTTTCGAGAATCTTGTTTCCTGCCAGCGTTGGGATTGAAGAGGACTTGTCGTCTGTTAGTGGTGGGAAGGCGGATAGAGTGTACAGGTTGACGCGCTCGTCGGTACCGCCGCTTGCCAGCACGACCTTATGCGAGCCTGGGGAAGCTTGGTCTGGCAGGGGACCTAGGGCGAGACATTTGATCGCAGAGGCGTGGGCTTGGAATAAAAAGTTATCGATGAATTGAACGGTCTGCGAAGCGGACTCATCATCGGTTGACGGCTTGGAGATGGTCGTAGTGATCCCATGCAAGACTCGTTCGTAGGATCCGGTGATGATTTGGACAGTGACTGCGCTTGGCGGCTGTTGATCTGGAGAAGGAATTTGTTTCTCTTTCTGGGCATTGGTTTCTGCTTTGATAGCTTTCCTGGCAGCGTCTTGTTTCTGCCCGGCAGCATCTTCTCTTTTGCGTTTCGCCATGGTTTGGTGGGCAGCAGTAGATGGAAATAATAGATGTACCAGTCCCTACAACATATTAGAAATAACCTCTCATAAAATAAATACACAATGCACCAGTAAAAGCAGGTGTACGTATATATATATATATATATATATATAAATATGGACATACCTCTTCTTCCCCGTCTACCGTCGTATTCTAGCTTTGATATCTAGAGCGCTGCTACCAAAAAAAAAATTAAATAAAATAAAAAATGAAATAAATCTGTACCAGGGCTCCAGAAAGACGGCAGCCGCTAAAACTCAGCTCCGTCACCTTGCCAACCTTGGGATTCGGTTTCTTACTGCCACGCCCCACCGCCCTCTACTTCCAAGCTTGCCTTGCGGTGACTTGCTCTAAGTTCGTAACTTAGTTACTAGTGAGTGAGTTCGTTAGTTTAACCAACAATTGATGTAACTGACTGGTTAGTTACATGACAGTTGGTTAACGTTAAGGTTGGCTGCTGACTACTCGCCGCTCTCGTCCACCTAACTCCCTCACTTATCCACTGCCGGGCCTTGCCCTTCCCAGGTTGCTGCTGACTACGCCCTCCCCTCTGGACTGGATTTTCAGAGTCACCTTCTCTGACTAGCAGCCCTCACCAGACACCAGCGTCCCCTCTGCGCTCACTCTTCCATCACAACAACATCACTTTCATCCGTTCAGAGCGATTTTTCCGGCTTATATGCCCCCGTTACCCCCATAGCTGCCGCTTTCTGCGCGTGAATCGGATGTTGGCTGCCCGAGATAGGCTCGATGCTCCGTGAAGAGCTGCTACAATCCAAGCACGATGAGATCGCGTATGTATTAATTATTTCCAACCGATTCAAAACTCCCTCTGCTTTGCTGCTGGCTCAAATATTCGCTAACTGTAATTTTTAGACGTTGTTTGTTGTCGCGGAAGCGCAAATTGAGCGAGCTCTACTTTGCGACCGTGGGGTTTCCTGATGCGACCGATGGTTCCCTCCAACACATTCAGTACAGGCAGAACGAACAAGAATTCCTCGACGCCAACGATATAACAAAGTAAGACCTTCGTTGCTTTCTGCTCCTGGCCCTATTGCCATCAAAACGATATATGTTTTTGGTTAACTAATTTCGATTTCCCTGCACTACTAGAGGACGTTCCTTCGATGAAGGCACTCTCCCACGCCGACTGGATGTCGCACCCCTCCATATCTCCCCAACGAACGAAACACTCAGTCATGGATCTCTAAGTGCAGATGCAGGTTGCTATACGGATGCCCACAACCATCAACCCGTCCCATCGCCAACTGGGATCGCAGTATCGTCGCCAGGGTTGCCTTCAACAGGTCGCTATGACGCCCTGGACTCCGAAGATAGCTCGGGACCCCTGGATCGAACTTGCGATGGCAAGACAGAATCCACCACGATCCAAGCCGGCTCTGAAGGATTGGCTCTATCCCAAACAATACCTAACGCTTCTCACGAGGTCACACGTCAGAAGGAGGTCTCTTCACCCGCTTCTACTTTCCAAATTGTCCCCGCGACTGCAACACCCTTGACCGACGTTGATATGGATGAATCCCCCGAAAGCAAGGATATTGCTCATACTGTCAAGATTCCCGTTATGCAAAGCACCTCGGCCCCGAGTCCTGGGAAAAACGTGGCTAAGATCCAAGAGAATGCTACGGGTGCGTCGCTGTCCATTCTGGAAGCCCCTGAATCTCAAATTGGGAATCATACTGTCCATACACCTTGTTTAGCCACCGATATGTCCCCGAAAAGTACTGACCATCCTTTGTCTCCAGCTTCTTCCCGTGGTCAATTATCTAGTACCACGTCTGTGTCAGATAGATCTCCTGTTACCAGTCCCGCAAAGGATCAGCACCCCAGACTACAAAATGAAGCCCCAACCCCTCCTCAAAGTCAAGAAAGTGCCGCTGTTCCCATGGGCATAACAACGATCCCAGTTACTCAGAGGGCTCCAGCCACCCCGGATGAGCAGTTGAAATTTGAAGCTGCACAATCCACCCTGCAACAAGCTGTATCAACGGAACAACCACCTAAAAACCCACCATCCCGTGACTCTGCCTTTTCATCTTTTCAACTTACCCCAGAGAACTCCTTCTCCTCATCTAGGAAACCATCAGATGGGCAGAATGGAACCGACCTTTCTAAACAGCCACAATCCTCAACCCATCCAGAGAGTCGTTCCCTCATCAATGGCACACTGCGGGTTGATACAACTAAGGTTATATCAGAGACAGTGCCCAAGGCCGGCGAACCCCGCTCAGCGCCAACGGAAGTTTCCCAGCAAGAACGTGGAAATGGTTCACCGTTTCTGACTACAAGCCGCAAGGCCTCGGCTCCAATCGTATCTACGACGTCACATTTCCAGCCAGAACGTATGACAACCAGAGTCTCTTCAGGGGCAATCCGCCACAGGTCCGTCTCTGAAATTCTTGGAGAAACTCCTAAGTCGACTGTAGATAGGTCCTCGGATAAGGTTGTGTCGGAGTCATCATCTGCGGGATCCGAGAGTTTACAAGCCCGAAACCGTTTCAAGGACAGAAAGGAAACTCAAAAGGAGCGAAGCAAACTCTCGACTGTAGTTTTCCCCAAGCAACAGTCTGGTGATAAGCACGAGGCTGCCTACTTGATTCGCTCTCCTTCAGGATACACAACATCCCTTAACGAAGAAAAGGACTACCTCTTTACTCTTTTCCAGGCCAAAGCACACTATCCACCTCGAAGCATGCACCTTAACTCCCTGCTCTCCACCGCCCACAAGACCCTTACAACCGCCAACCACTTCGTTGAATATCAGGAGCAAATGGACTGTCGCTCATTAAAAAGAATATACCAACTTCAGCACGCCAACCGCTGGCCACTTCGCCAATTGCAACGGTCTGCAGAACCTGAGCGCTCAGGTACACACTGGGATGTTCTGCTGGATCATATGAAATGGATGCGTACGGATTTCAGAGAAGAGAGGAAATGGAAAATTGCTGCCGCTAAGAGATGTGCGGATTGGTGCGCGGAATACGCTACAGGTGGAAAGGAACGTAGGGCTGAACTGCGTGTACCGGCCCGAGTTCCTCTAGCCATTGATAAAATTGCCGGAGTTAGTGACGATAAGGCGATCCAATCGTCTCAGGGTGACGGAGGCGATGACAGTCTACCCCATTCTCAACCTACGCCTGATTTAATCTCATCTGTGGAAGATGATTCTGTCAGCGAAGGTTTCAACGATGACGTGCACCCTGACATGTCCGAAGGCGTTGTTCCCGCGGCTATATTCTCGCTTGGCTCGGACGAATTTACATTCGGGATGGAAAGGACTCCTGCATTTGAAAAGATTCTAGATGAGCTTCCGCTCTATACTCCTATGAGTATCTCACCAGAAACCAATTTACCGTTCTTTAAATGCCCTCCAGACTCGTCATGGCGAAAGGAGTTACTTCCCGTTTCCAAATACGCCACGGGGAAACTTGAATTTACCAGCAAGCAACCTCCTCGCAAACGAAGCCGTTATGATTATGCCAGTAATGTTGATGATATCGACGTTGAGCCCGTTGACGTTCTGCCCGAACAAACTAATGTTGCCCTTTTCCAACCTCAAAATAGACATATACGTGACCGTATCCATCCGGGGCAGGTATTCAGACCTCCCACAGAGTCACCCATGCCATCGCTAGGATTTTATGAGTCACGGCAGCCTTCTCAATGGACCTACGCTGAAGAAGATGAGCTTAAGAGGATTGTAAAGGAATATTCGTTCAACTGGTCGCTTATTTCGTCCTGCTTGAGTTCTCCGTCGTTATATACGTCTGGTGCGGATAGACGAACTCCTTGGGAATGCTTTGAAAAGTGGGTTCAGTTGGAAAGCCTACCGACTGAGATGTTGAAAACTCCGTATTTTAGAGCATATACGTCGAGAGTGGAATCTGCACAGCGAACTGTTCTTGCTGCCCAGCAGCAACAGCAACAACAGCAGCAAGCACAGGCGCAGTCGCAGCAACAGGGTAATAATCCACCGCCAACACCAACAGCAATTCTTCGGAGACGGCCCACCACGCCGATGAGAGTGGAACGGAAGCGGTCCTCCAGACACCTGGCACTCCTTGATGGCATGAGGAAGCTATCTAAGAAACGCGAGACGTTGCTTCAAAAGCAGCAACATGGTATGAATATTTTCACCCGATGTGGTTGGAATATTTTTTAGATGATCAAACTAACTTTTCTCTAGCGTCTCACCTGGCAGCTTCACGCAAGATTACCGAAGCAAATCAGCCGCGACCTCCAATCTCAACACCAGCAGAATTCAGTCGCTTGAAGCATGAACGGGAGCTAAAGATCCAAGAGAGTCAGGAGCAATATAAGCAGGCAATGCTGGCACAACGAGTAAGTTAAAGCGTACATTTTGCAGACATTCATAGACACCTTTTTCTTTTTACTCATGATTTCCTTTTTCTAGTTGGCGATGACACAGCGTGTTGCACAGCAGCAGGCGGCACAACAGCAAGCACAGCTTCAGCAACACCGACAAATGCCAAATCAGCAAGCTATACCCAACGGAGTGCCCCCCCGTACCACTGCTAGTGCGCCTCCGAACGGTGTTCTGCAAGCAATGGCTCCACCTGCTAGCACTGGCATTCCCAATGGCGTGCCTGTTGGTGTAGCGATAGCTCAATCCCGCGCTCATCCTGGTATGCAGATGCCAAATGGAAATGCAGTCAATGGCATGCCGAATACTGGGATACTGAAAATGATACCGCAACCTGGTATTCCGCAGCAAATGAATGGGCGTCCAGGTATTCCTACTCAAGCTTCTCCCGATAATGCGCGCATCATCCGTGAAGCCAATCGTGTTCAGGAAGAACAGCAGCGAATGGTTCAATCACGGCAGCAACAGCTTCAAAACCAGCAACAGTCATTCATTCCCCCTCAAGGAAACCATTCCTCCCCAAATATGAACATGGCCACTATGAACACAAACCCGAACAACGCTACAATGCTAGCGTTCCAAGCAGCCGCAAGCGGCGTTGGCAGTCCCTCCTTCCATACCCCTTCTCTCTCCCAGGGCGTCTCCAGCGCCTCCCCCCGCCTCAACCATGTCAACCCGCTCGTTAATGCTGGTGGAATCCCTACTCTATCCAGCATACAAAACTCCATCCAGCGGAGCAACCCCAACATGACACCTGAGCAGGTCAACAAGCTCGCCACCGAGCGACTCCACCACATTCAACAACAGCGCATGTCACAGGTGGCCATGAACGCTGCAGCAGGCAATATGGGCTCCATGCAAACCAGTTACCAAATGCACCATGATGCAAATATGCATCAACTGCCTCATACAGGTATGCCAAATGGCGCGGGCTCTGCATTGCAAACTTCACAGACGCAGGGGTACTCGCCGCTTATGCGAGTGGCTCAACCGGGCCAGCCGAATCGGATGGGTGTAAATGTTAACGGATCACCGGCGATGAATGCTGCCTTGGCTGCGCAACAGGGTCGAAGTGCGACGGCACAGGCTCACCGGAGTGTAAGTGGTCAAGGTGGGCCGGGACAAGTTCCTGGTCCTGGTCCTGGTTCCGGTCCCGGTCCTGGTTCTGGGAAAAGTCCACGACCTCCGCAGGTGCAGATGGCGTCTAGTTAAAATCCTCCGATGTCTCTCTCGAGCCATATATAATATCATCAATAAATGAATGGCTTGACTTTTTGAGAATCCTGTCTTTCTTCACCTCGTTCTAGTCCTTCCCCAACGCTACACCAATAACAACCCCCACCAACCATACCCTCTTTCCTGTATATATATTTAACGAGGGTTTTGAGTTGATCACCTCCTTAGTTTCCCCGGTTTTCATCCTTTACGGTTCCTTGTTGATTGTTTTATTCCTTTTTATACTTTATGTGTGAATCACCAGGCGAGCGGGATTTGGGTTGTTTGTTTCTTTTCTTCCCCATTGTGTTTTATACGGTAAGGCTAGCTAGGTATGCTAGGTCGGTTTGCGTTTTCTTTGAGATTATCGCTTTTTCTCTTCATACTTTATTTAACTTTTTTTCCTGCGGGTTTTAGTGTTTCTTTTCTTTTTCGTGTTGCTCCTACAACACTTTTGTATTTGTATTGATAGAGACGGGTCGTCTTTTGAAAGATTGACTACCGTAACGGCGGATTTCTTGTGATATGGCTCTCATTCTCATGTTAATGCGTGTTTAATGGATGGTGATGGAGGCGGTTGTGGTGAGTGGAGAGGGAGGCGAAGGTGAAGATGGAGTGAAAGAAACATGAATAACCAATGAGATGGCATGCAACGAGTGAATGGAATTGAATTTCGCATGAAGACAACTTCTCTGTAGTGCTTTGTTTTGCGCTTCGATTCATGGTGCATGGATTTACATATTTGTTCAGTCGAGCGACTAGAATGATAAGATAACGTAGAGGATGTAATGTAGCCTTGCTAGCTATCAGTTTTAATCGAAACTTTTCCTGCGAATCTTAAAAACAAACGTATTGTAATCGAGTGTAATCGAGCGCTCTTGAAGGGAATAAAGATTGAAGGGAAATGAATGTCAGGCAACCCCAACCTATTGTATCACAAACCAAGTTCTGGCGTTTAGAGCGTCTAATTTGCCGCACTCCGCCGCCACAATATCATTCATTCTCTGACACAAACCTTCTCAACACCGTCTACAGAAGCTACAATAAAAGCCCATGCAGAGCAGTAGTATTCTTTTGCTTTTGCTTTTCTTTTCCTTTTCCATTTTCCTTTTTTACTAGGCTGCGTCCTTCATTCCACGCAGCAGTCATGTCGTCCGACACCCCGAGCCCAAAACCAAAACCGTTTTCCATCTCACTATTCCCCGCCTCGCAAAAGAAGAATACACCCTCATCATTACCCACCACCAAAGCCGCATCTGAAACTCCAAACCTCCATCCGCGCACCCTCCATGACCATGACTCCGATAATGAAGACAACGATGAACAACCCATCGCGGAAGAAGTGACGGCCTTCGACCGCGACGCGGGCGGTGCGATAAGTGCACATGCGCGTGCGGAGAAGGAGAAACAACCCCTCGTTATTAAAGTTGAAAGTAAAAATAACTGGCAGGAAAGGCCGTGGCAACGGAAGAGGAAGGCATTTAATTTGTTACCTAGAGAAGTCGGGGCGCAGCGGGAGGCGGAAGCAAATGCCGCCGCTGGTGCGGGTCGGGAAGGGAACGTGGAGGTTGAGGGGCCAAGTATGAAATATGGACTGAATCTTGTGGAGAAGCCCAAATCCGACGAGCGAGATGGTGGTGATGTGTCAATAGTGGAAACGGGTGGTGTGGATATACAAAGGGAGGAGAAGGAGGCTGAAGCACCGAAGAAGCCACTGACGCAGGATGAGATTGCCATGCAGGCACTTATTCGTGAAAGCAGAGGGGATGGAGAGGAGGTAGCAAGGCGATCCGATCTTGTTATTCCAGGGAAGAGGAAGGAGAGGGATGACGATGAATATGGAGATTATGGTGTGGAAGGGGAGCGATTCGATGAGACAAAATCGTTCCGTGCTGATGTTGCTTCAAGACCTGATCCGGCCAGTCTGGCGGACTATAGTGCCGTTCCTGTTGAGGAATTTGGAGCCGCGTTGCTACGCGGTATGGGATGGAAGGACGGGGAGCCCATTGGTAAAGGCAAATACGGAAGTTCGAATGCGAAGCCTAATGGTCCCGGGTTGAAACCCCGCATACCGGAGAGGAGGCCTGGGTATTTGGGAATTGGGGCCAAGGAACTTCCTGGCAAGGACAAGGGTGGTGCTAGTAGCTCTGAAGTTGAGTTGGGTGCATGGGGAAAATCGTCCATGAGGAAAGGTAAGAAGCCGGGTGAGGGTCTCTACACACCTGTTCTTATGCGGAATAAGAAGACTGGGGAGATGATTACACAGCAGGAGTTTGAAAAGTTGGCGAAGGAAAGGAGTGAAGGGAAGAAGGGAGAGGAGGGATGGAGGGAAAGAAGGGATAGGAATTTAATGCAAAATGGGAGGGGTTGGGATCGCCGTGTTGAACGGGATTCTGAGGATGAGAGTGATAATGGAATTAACGGTTTCGAGTTGCGTCGTCGGAATGGAAGTGGAATATCTGGTAGTCGGGATCGGGATCGGGGCGGGGATAGGGATAGAAATAGGGACAGAGATAGGAGGAAACGCTTCGACGATCGAGAAGGGGTTACAAGTGATAGCGGGAGAGGTGACTGGCGCTACAAAGAAAGTGAAAGTGATCATCGCAACCGGGATCGGGAGCGAGAGAGAGGCAAAGATCGAGAAAGAGATCGCAAACACAGGAGCAGTGGGAAAGTATATGATGATGACTATAAATCCCGCCATTCGTCATCTTCAAGACATGGTCGTGATTCCGGAGACCCGCGTCGGGATAGGGACAAGGACAGAGATAAGTCTTCAGTGAAAGACCGAAGGGATCGTTATGACGACGACGATGATGGTAGGAGGCGACCAAAACGTGAGGAGGTGTATTAAAATGCATCAACGGTTCTGTTGGTTCTGTTTCGAGGAGGGAGAATAAATGGTACATAGATACCCAGCTCAAGGATATATTTTGATTTTCATGATGTATTTATTAGGTATTGGATGTACGATAGTTGGGCATTCCTAATCCAAAGAATGTCAAATTATTCTTAATCACGAATTTGTTGCGTTAACGAGGTTGATATAAAGTCTTGTAAAGTCTCGAGTTCTTGTTCCATTTTTTAACTCCTTGCATAAAAAAATATGATACACCTTTAGCCCCTTTATCTCAGTAATGTCCAATACACTTTTTAAAAAGCCAGCATTACAATATATGTTACGTCAAAAGCAATTAACAGCGGACATTCAAGTTCCAATCATTCTCACATCTTGCTCCTGTCCCAACCCCGTCTCACCCGCAGCACCACTAATGCCCCCATCCATTTCCCCAAGGACCCACTCCGCCAAATAGCTCTCGTCCACAAGCTCCTCAATCCTCTTATAATGTCGTTCCGTATATGCCACCAGAGTATCCAGAATATCCTTCATGGACTGCGCCTTATACTTATTCCGACCGCCCGCTGCAGCACCTGATGGTGGCGCACGGCGATGGCTAGCTAGGTCGACAAAGGTCGAGAGTGGGTATGACTTGGACAATGCATAGATAATACGCTGTGCAACGGGAGCAGTTTTGGCATTAGTATTCCAGTCACGAACGCGGAGAAGAAGTGAGTAGAGATTATCCTTGTCGAGAGACTGAAGAACAGTGTCAATGTCCGGATTTCCGGTCAGGCTCTGCTGCTGCTGTTCGCCATCTGCTGTTTGGGATGCGTCCATAGCTGTGGTGAAGAGTGATAGGAGCCGGGCCGGATGGTTGAGTTGTAAGGCAAGGGTGATGGCTTCACGGTAGGCGCCAGCATGTATGTAGTTCTGCAGCTGTTGGTCTTGCTCAATCCGTTCGGAATTGGCGTTTACTGCTGCAGACAGCGTGGCGGATGTGGTATCTTTCCAGAATGTGACGACTGAGTCGGCTCCACCTGATATTAGAGCAAAATCGGGGGGGTCAGCGTTGTAATTGGTGTCTGAGGAGAAAACAAGAGGTGTTGCCAACGCCCAGACACGGTCCTCGTGGTTGTCAAGGGTGGTTTCCAATTCACCAGTGTACGGGGACCATATCTTAACTAATCCGTCGGCAGCAGCTGAGGCGACAAGAGGGTGGACCTGGACAGCGCCGCGGGAAGATATATCTTCATTGTCGCTATCAATTCGTGGTGGTGGTAGCCAAAGCAGTTTTAGAACGCTGTTCGTATGTCCTTCGAAAGTGAGGAGACAGCTGTAATCTGAAAGACTCCAGAGCTTGATGGTCTTGTCCGCTGAACCAGTAGCAACGACACCCCGACTTGTACTGGCACCTGAATCCGAGGTTATAACTGGGGTGTCTTTAGGAGCGAATCGGATAGACCAAACACCTCGTTTGTGGCCCCGGAGAATTCCTAGAACGGAACCGTTTTCCACTGACCAAATTTTTGCGGTGCGATCTTGGGAGGCTGAAGCGAATAGGCTGGAGGCATAGTTGATGTCAAGAGCGTTGATATCCTTGTCGTGGGCTTTCCGGGTATAAATTGCCTTTGGTACACTGATGTTCTGGTCTTTGGGCGCTAATAGTTTAGAAGTGTCCCATCTTTTGATGGTACGGTCTTGAGATCCAGTGAAAAGGAAAGGTGGTGGATGGTTTAGCGGATCTTTATACGCTGGAGAGCTTGACGGGGGGGGGGATCGGGGAAAGGTAATAGCACCTAGGGACTCTGCATGACCAGTAAGGCTTGCAAAACAGGTGAAAGATGATGACTCAGGGTCAATCTGCCATAACCGTGCCGTATTATCTTTGGCACCGGTTGCTAACCAGCACCCAGACCAGTCAACATCAAGGCAAATAATAATATCCTTATGCCCTTCCAAATGGGCGACTTCTGAACCAAAATAATTCTGTTCGCCCCCAAGCCGTGAACATGCAGCATCTTGCTGCTGCGTAGATACAATTCTTATGTATTCTGTGTTGGTGGCCAACGCAACCAAGGATCGATCACGGCCGATACAGGCTAAATCGATAACCTCATCGTCGTTTCCAGATATACGACGCACTATAGGTAGTGGGTTGATCTTCATGCCTGGCTTTAACGACAAAAGGGGTTCCGTCAGATGTAGTCTCAGAGTCTGATCAGCATGGACCGTCATGACCCATGGTAAATTTGCAGAATATAGGCATATAATAATGCTTTCTTGTTCCGGGCCAGGATCTTGGTCCTTTGTGACTTCGCTTCCCCTATTTGGATCCCATATTCGCAGTCGGCCATTTTCTCCGCCAGAGAAACAGAGCGATTCATCTGACAGAAAACCTGCAGCTTCAACACATTCAAGGGCTGGGATAATTCTTCGTGTTTTCCAGGTCCTGGCATCCCATAGAATCAACGTCTTATCTCGGCTGGAGGACAAAAGCGTATTTTCCGAAGTCGAGAATGATAGGCTACGCACAACGGAAACATGTGAATCAAGCGAAGCGATACTTTTCCTTTTATGAAGATCCCACACCCTGATTTTGCCTTCCTCACTAGCCGACGCGAGGCGGAACCCTATGGTGTTCATTTCGTCGTCATTGGATGAGCGCTTAAACCTTTGGCTCTTCTTATTATCGGAACCCTCATTAGCGGTATTGGATCTTGCTGCTTCAAAAAAGCATAGGGCGGATATCACTCCTCCGTGGCCATGAAAAGTATGTGTCACAAATCCCCGTCGCACATCCCATATTTTTATTGACCCGTCGGAGCTGCCCGTGGCCAACAACGTTCCGGTCGCATCAATAGCGGAAGTTACCACGGGCGCCGTGTGAGGTTTGAGGGTTCTTAGGAGGTCCGGTTGTATCGATAAGGAGGGCTCGTCGGACTGTGCCAAGGAGAAAATCCGCATTGACAACGATCGCAAGCATATTACTAAATGTGATGCTGACGGAGTTACTAGACATGGAGTTAGTAATAAATTCAGATTGGGGGTTAAACGAGGAAATCATACTTGACAAGCTTGTAACTAACTCTCCATCCTAGAGCAGTGATTTCCGCTGGTCAGCTCTACCAAAAGCAAGTGATATCGCATTCCACTAACTTACCCCCTCAATCGTCGCCAGTTGCCCTCCAGTTTTTAAATCGGTAATTAGGACATCTTCCCCAACGCAAGTCACCAAAAGCCGGCCGCTGGCGTCGATTGCAACACTACCGCCCGTATAAATCGGGCGTATTGTGTTTGCCACTTCGAAGGTAGTTTTGATATTAATTTTTGACATCGTCAAGGGTAGATTATAAAAATTATACCGACATTGCTATATACATAAGAAGGACAATTTCCAATGCAAATATCTGGTGTGAGAAGTGTATATTTCGAATACATGAAAAAGTGAATTCCCTAATTTTTTAGGGTTTGGTCAGTTGAAGAAAAGAAGTTTATCGCAAAGAACTAAACGGTGGTCAGTGCGTTTAGCCGCCACAGCCGCCCCTTGCTAATGACGCCTGCGGAGCCGCACAATCATCGCAGCTGACTTGATGACATCCATATATACTGTTTATGATATTGAGGGGGTATTTACGAGATACAACGCCGACATTAGGTACAGGTGGGTTTTGGCATACGAAGTTATGGCATCACCTCTTTAGTATTACGCTTTTCCTTTCATGTCCTGCTCATGAACTCTTGTGCTTGCCTGGCAGTCGTTAATCATGGGGAGGCAACCCTATATGAACTTGCTTGCATTGGTATGTAACTGTCGAGTCTCTTATTGCTTTTGGAGTCTCCTCCCAAAATCCTGATGTTTTGCATTATTCTTTCGTTTATCTATGAGTTCCTCCAGCTTAGCCCATCCCCTTTAAGCACTCCATGTCTGGGAGCCATCCGTAATATAACTCAATACCAAGTGGACTAGTTTCATGTATATGTTTTTGGCTTGGAGGTTTCACAACTTCACAAAACACCCATATAGACTACCTCTTTGTATATGTATATATATATTACTTTTTCTTGTTGTTTTACTAATCCGTGCAATAGGGGCGGTCACCGTACGAGGCGCCAGAAAACCCTCCCCAGGGTTATGTTGCTCCGGTACGTCGTGCTGAAGATAGTATCAATGCCGACGGTTACGTTCAGGAGTATGATGCTCGGGGTCATCCAATTAATCCCTCTTCCAAGGCTCTAGCCAGGCAGCTCCGGAGGGCTAAAAATGACATTCTCTCCACGATGGGAATTGTCGTCAGTGGCGAGGACGGCAACCTAGGAATTTCAAAAGAGCGACAGCACATGAGTCTGTTATCCACAGAAAATGATTATGGGCTTGCTATGGCAACATTAGATCAAGTTTTTATGTTTTGTTCATCTTGGTGGACGACATCGCTTGCTGCCCGTATCCAGGTAATATTACCTACCTCTCGGATGTTTATCCCTGCCAATTTATTTAAACTGACGCCATATCTCCAGACTTTCAAAAAGTACACCCATGTGCCCTTTATGCAAATTATACAGCTTGAGAGGAATGAGCTCGGACTCTTCAGCTTCTACTGTGGTGGCCTTCCTACCTGGACTGCATCCTTCGTCATCTCAGTTTGTCGGAATCATTTTCTAGAACCCGCATTAGAGTACCTTCATGGCAACGTTTTGGCATCATTTGACAACGACACTTATAAATCTTCTGCTCGAGTAATATTTATGGGACTCCACTCCAGGTAACCCCTTACCCTCCACATCAGTGTAGCGTACGATTTACTAAAATATTAAGCAGCTTCAAATTCGCCCTTCTAATCCTTCTGGGACAAGCGCATCTGTTTTCTCTTCTACAAACACTTCACATACTACCCGCCTGGGCAGCACCCTCGCTTCGTTCTCTACTTCCATTTAGCCACACCTCACTGATCCAGTTTCCATCGCTTCCCTCAACATTATCTGCCTATGCTATTGGAAACTTCGGCATAAACCTACTCACTTCGCCTTTTACGGGGGTGTATATGTATGTCTATCTCCGACCACTAGTTGAATCTAGAATTTACCGTATCCTCCGACGGAGACTTCCTAAACCTGACCGCCCGGATAACCTATCTCTTCGCGTTGCGGCGGAAAATGACCTAATTGAGTGGACGGTGCCATCACTTGGCGGACGATCCGATGAGGAATATCACCGTAGCGATCTTACAATCGGTGAAGAGTTGAAATACGAACTACGGGTTTTTAGATATTGGGTTCTAGGACTTCTTGGCTTTCATGTTGAAGAGCGATCAGCTGAACTGCTTAGAAGATCGTCGACATCACGATCACTCCAACATCATCTTGAGCAGTTAAACCGCGATTTGGATGCAAGCACAGCCCCTATGGTGGAACATATATATCATCCAGTGGACGAAATGTTAATGAGTTCAATGCATGCAAGGGTGGAACAACAATTAAGTGGTCACGTCGAAGGTGGCCGACCAAGAACCCCAACTCCAGATGCTTCGACGCAACAACAGTTTGGCACGAACCAGATATTGAGCAGTGATGAGCAACGCATGTCTCAATCTCCCCTTCAACTTGCTACAGATTACTTCGATGGTGATGCACAGTCCCAAGGGAGAACTGCAATGGAAGAAACATTCAGGATAGATACCTCACTATCTTCACAGCTCCACGGCCCACATCCTGACGAATTCCATCATCATCACCGCCACTCCTGCTCTAATACCCTATTTTCCCACCCGTCAACTCCAGAATCATCTCCCCTCCCCTCGCCTCGCGTGCGTGCATCGCTAGTCCATCAAAATTCCGACGTAATCACGATGCAACTAGAATTACTGCGGAGCAATCATGGCTCCCCTGCCCAACCCCGAACAAGCCAAGAGAACACAAATACGACGATTGTCCCACTTTCAACCGGTATAGCGCAGGAATCTGAACTCACCGCGAGCGAAATTGACCGCACAGCAAACGAGCTCCTTGACTCCATCCTCTCAAACCGTGGCCCAGGCGTCCTCCACCCGGACCAACCTCCCCATCATAACATCCTTCCACAAACAGATGATTTGGAAGAAGTAGCCCAATTCAACCCTATCTCCAATTCCCGACTTCTTGAAAATTTTGAGGAAGCGCAATCTGCCGCATCCCTTCCTCCAGCCACAGCTACAGCGGTCACAGAACATTCACCCAGTCACGAGCTATCTGAGGTCCCCGCATCCTCCCAACCTACGCACCGGGCCGAACCTGTTACCGCCACCATAGGTGATGACAACAGAAGCCTCTCACACCCAATCTCAACCCAACCCCCCCACCGCTCCCGCTCCGAACGTTTCCTCCTCCCCGACCATCGCGTAACAATACTCTCGTCATTACCAGTCGACTCACTCTCTTCCCATCTAGCTTTTCTCTTAGGTTCCCTCATCTTCTACCCGCTCGAATCCATGTACCTGCGTAACCTCGCAACGCAATATCTAGCATCTCCTCACCTGCTTGCTGCACTGCCTATTGGCTCCCCTGCTCCTAGTACAGCCACGATTCTCGGTCTCAGGACTGATGTGAGGAGTGTGACTGCCTTGTGTGGTGGCGGGTCGAGGGCGGATATGCTTGCGTATTTGGGGAAGATGGGGCTTGCGATAGGAATGCAAGCGTTGGTTAGTGCTGTGGCTTGGGGGATGGGGACGGCGTTGACAGTGCTGGTGGGGACGAGGAAGTTTGGGTGGGGAGATTTGTAGGTTTAGGTGCTTTGCCGACGTGTGTTCATGTATGTTATCAATTTGGAGGAGGCATTTTTGCGATATGTTTTCATGGTGTGCATTTATAATTATATTTCTGACTCATACGTGTGCTGGTCATCTTATGTGGATATGAAGATTGGGAGAATTCGCCCAACGCTGCGCGTCCGTGATTCTGCCCTAAATTGATATTTAGCTTCTATATTTAATGATGATATACAAAATTGACTACAGTATTATTCTAGATAAATAATTAAATTTACTGGTTGAAGAAATGGGAAATTTAACTTTCATGGTAACAAAGTCTAGCAACTAATCCCTTCATACCAAAGATTCTAGAGGTTTAAAAAAAAAAGGAAAGGAAAGGAAAGAAACCAAACTAAATAGCATCTAGATACCTGCCAGAAATACATAGCGTTACACACCATGCCAACCAACGATTCAAGTAACAGCCCCTAACCTTTGCCCTTACCTTTCCCCTCCCCACCAACTTTCCTCCTCTCCCACACCATCAAATACCCTTCACGCGTAAAAAGCGTCTCACTCTCCGCCCTCTGCACCCACAAGTCCTGAATCTCAAGCCACTCCGGCCCCTTCTGCTGCTGCACCTGCCCGTTTTCAACACTCATAGCCTTGTCATGCAACTGAACGAGCCAGGACACCTTATCATTCCCCGCACCTGCGCCAGGTGTCGTCGAAGAAGTAGATGCGCTTCCAACGCCAGATCCCTTGGTTGTAATGCCGGAGGTGGTAGAAGAAGAGCCCTCGCTGCTATCGCCAACTCCTGGAGCGGTGACTGTGGCGTCGAGAATGACGTTTGCGACTAGATCGTACCAGATGGGTTCACCGGGGGCGCAGATGGAGGTGTTTGGCTCGACGTAGGGTGACATGTCTAGGGAGCGTGGGGAAGGAAAGGTGACGATTGTGGGGTTGCGTTCGGAGACGAATTTGTTTTTGCTGAAGCGCTTTATGTGGAAGAGGAGGTAGGGGGGTAAAGGGTGGAGGAGGCGATGACGCACACGGTGTGAGAGTTTCTCGGATGCGATGAGGCCGTTGTATTTGTTCAGAAGGGTTGTGAGGGGCACCTGGGGGATTACAGATTCTGCGTTGGTGGACTGGAATAGTGGAGTGGGAGGGAGGTCGAGGGTTAGGATTAGGAAGGGGGTTATTTGGGAGGTTGTGCTGCTGGATTCGGAGAAGACCAGGCGGGCGTTGGCGGCGTCCGAGCGCGCGGTTATGGCCTGGCTTTCGATGCGGAGGTGGCCTTGGAATGCGGTGTGGATTACGCTGGTTGGGGTTTGGGATGGGCGTTTGGAGCCCCCCAGGCTGAGGTGGAGGTTGTTTAGGAACCAGGAGAGGAATTCAACAGGGTCGGATTGCTGGGTAAGTGTGAATCGCTTAGAGGAGCGGAGGGCAACTTCCTGGAGTAACTCGTGAGGTGAAACGTGAGATTTGAATGCGCGTGGATTCCACAGCTTGCGCACTAAGATACCGAAGCGGAGTGGGAGTTGGGGAGTTCCTGGGGTAGGGAATCGGTGGAGAAGGAAGAAATTTCTGATGGGGCGGACGTGGGCGAGAACTTGGACAATGACATTGAGGTAGTCGTTAGATTTGATATTGTTCATCCCAACGAATCCTGTATGCAACACTGTTAGTATGGACTATTTCGATAAGGAGAGGATCTCGGATTTACCGGGTCTGTATCGCTTGCCGGCCAAATCCACCGCATCAATAACCACCTTGTCAAGTTTCGTAACCTCTTCCTTTTTATACTGCGGATCAACCACATATTTGATGTCGTCTAAGCTGCTGCTCTTCACTTCATACCCTTCAGGTAAAACATACACCTTCTTCGTCTCCATATTCACGAAAACGTGATGTCCAACATCGAGCGCATGGAAGTACGCATGCGACTTGGGACCCCGGCCCTGATAATACCTCCCGCAAACTAAGCATGCATAGACGTTAATATTTGACAGCGAGACGGAGCACTGCTTTTCGAAATCGAAATCTAGCACTGATCGCTGTATCGTATCCAGGTAAAGGTCGCTATAACCCTCCGTCGGTGCGGTTTGGCGAGCAGGAGCGGAAACTGCTGATTCCTCTTCGTCCTCATCGGAAATAGGAATTTGATGTGCAGAACCTTCCTCAATCTCTTCCTCTTCCTGGTCCGCTGCTGCTAAGATGTCTTTCCCATTGCGTTCGTCGTCTTCCCATCGTCGTTCGTGGAGCGGGCTACGATGGTTGGGCTGCTCCGATAGCTGTTTGTCTTCCTGTACGCCTTCGACTCGAGAGCGTTTTGAGGCTGGGGAGTTGGCAGACGGCGCGTCCTCCAGCAGCTCTTCAGCTGGTCTTTTCGTCATTGTGTAAATATGCGGTGGAGCAGTGATATTGAGATGTCCTTCGAAAGGAGGATGTTGAGGTCTGCACTTGCGTTGGAGGTTGCTGCTCTTGATGCAAACAGAGCAAACATATCTGGATAGGCCAGCACTTGAATGAGCTATGGGATATCTACATCTGTGCAGCGGAGTACACTTGATGATATGATGGATCTAATATAAAATATAAAGACATCGCTTACGCAGCAATAAGGGTTCATTTTCAAATCGGAGGTCATTAAAAATTGCTATGGTACATCGCTGTCCCGGAACAAAGCTAACCAAAGTCTATGCGGGCGCGACTTGCTTACTGTTATCAAAATCTACTTCTTCGATGCCCTCCTTTCTCACTACTTTTACCAATACCTGTAAAACATAACCATCAGAACATCAGCAAAATGCAGTCAACGGAAGATGGGGAACATGGACATACGCCTTTAAAGTCAATTGGTAATCTCCGCTTGAGTTCGTCCGTGCACATCTGGAGAAGCTTCAAACCTTGCTCAAAGGTGATATTTGGGTGGTGGTGTTTATCAAGGATTGAGAGGCAGTAGTATCTGGTGTATCGTCAGGCAGTAATTCTACACAAAATTTATTGCTACGGTTCCACAACACCCCCCAACAGCAAAAACGTGACGGGAATGTGAATGCGAGTTGTTCAACATACTGGGCATAGCCGTGTGCAGCATATGGCACCGGGGCAAGCGCCGCTAGGTAATCCAGCCAGTACAGACTGGGTTTCTCCGTGATGGGATCTACACCACCCAGCAGGAGGTTTACGGTGTAAGGTCGTCTAGATCGTAAGCTGCAGGAAAGCTCTCCTCGTACGAAGTTGGCGACGGCCGACGGGCTGAGTTCAGTTTCGTTTCTCATGGAATATAGTTGGACGTTTGCTTGAATGTATTCGGCAAATTGAACTAATTTGGAATAGAAATAGCAGGTTGGTCGTTGGATTCAAGTGGATTGGTTCTCATACACGGTGAGGTGCTCGGAGGTTAAGATAAACATACCTGTGTCACCAGCTTCGCCGGAAAATGCCATGAGGGTATGCTTGTTCAGCTCCCGCGTCTTGTCATCTGCGGCCTTGAGGACGGTGGGGCCTCTCATGGCAGCTTTGGACGCCGCAATGAGAGTGAAGTCCTTGCCAGTGATACCAAGTAAGACCTCCCTAGCTGCAGGTTAGTATTGCATACAATACGGCTTCGACTTGGCCCATATTCGTTGGGGCAAGACCTACATGACATGCCACAGGTAACGCTCTGGGTATTTTCTTTAAAAAAAAGGCCTAGGGTCCTCAAACACCGGCACTGGTTGTTACTCTGTCTCCTGCTCTATAGATTGGGGTACATGGGGTATCTGGGTAGTATCTGGGTATCTGGCAACGGGGCATAGAAGAACGCCGTGGATGTTTTCCGTAGTTTTAAGGTATTACGCAGCTGCCGCCTCATAGCACGCAGCGAGCTTGCGGCCTGCACCTTACCTAATCAGGAGAGCCCGCACTTTGATGTAGGGCATAATATTTATCCGATACGGAGGAGGAAACGCCAAGATCCAAGATGTACAAACAGTGCAAACACGACATGGAAGAAAAATAGACAAACTTTTGTTGGACGGAACGACAAGCAGTTGATTTGTATACGAGAAGCAGGTGAACAGAGGAATAGGTGAAAAGGGGGATGCTTCTTAATTTTTAGTTAAAAGAGGGTTTTTAGTGGCCAACCTGTGCCATGTCCTCTTTCTTCACATTGCCGGCTTCCCAGCGCAAACGGAAGAGAGATGATCGGGTTGCGGCTCCAGGTTCGAAGAAGAGGGGGGTGGCAGGGAAAGGCAGCAAGGGCGCAGAGGACGGTGAACAACGAGAGCAGAGAAAACAGAGAGACGAGTCTATATCCGGAAGCGAATCAGATGACGGTGACTTGTCACAAAGTGAAGACTCGATTGACGAGGAGGAGGGTTCGGAAGAGTCGGAAGACGAAACCGCAGCGGATCGGAGATTGAAACTGGCCGAGAGATATCTGGAAAACATAAGGGAGGAAGTTGATGAGGTTGGCTTTGATGCTGCGGAGATTGACCGCGATTTGATTGCCGAAAGATTGAAAGAGGATGTGGTATGTTTGTATTTGGCAAAAGAATCCACGTTACCAACTCTTTTATCCTGAGCTCACATGTGTCTATCTTTTCCATTGTCTAGGATGAATCCAAAGGACGGATATGTCGACAAATAAGCTCGCAATTATCCTTTTCCACTGCATCCCATTCCTTCTTCCGCGCAGATACACAAAGCATCACTGCAATCGCAGTACATTTCCCTTTCGTCTATACAGTTTCTAAGGATAAAACGCTGATCAAATGGGAGCTAGCCGTCCATCACCCACCCAGAGAACAAAGGATATCCACTATAAACGGAGATTCTACGCGAGCCAAGCGCTCCCAGCGAAAAAGGCCGAAGAAAATCAAGTCGGTTCGGGGGCTACAGGAATCTGCTGAAGGGGGTGAGCCGCAGGGCCACACGGGCATTATCCTGGCAGTTGCAGTATCCCCATCGGGGGAATTCGTGGCAACCGGAGGTGCAGACCGGCGCCTAATAATCTGGGATGCGGAGGCACTTACACCCCTGAAAACTTTTACCCAACACCGCGACGCCGTGAGCGGGCTATCATTCACACGCCGCATCTCCTCATCAAGCTCCGGCGAACAGCTCTTCTCCGCATCCTTCGACCGCACCATAAAAACATGGTCCCTCAGCCCTGGCGCGCATGCTTATGTGGAGACCCTGTTCGGTCACCAAGACCATGTCATTGCCGTTGATTCCATGGCGCTGGACCAGTGCGTCAGCGTTGGTGCCCGCGACCGTACGGCACGCCTTTGGAAGGTGGTTGATGAGACGCAACTTGTCTTCCGTGGGGGTAGCTCTAAGGGTAGTTCGTACGTTGAGGGCTCACTGGACTGCGTGGCTGTATTACCGCCTACGCACTTTGTTACGGGCTCGGACTCGGGAGCTCTATCTCTCTGGTCAATACATAAGAAGAAGCCACTCTACACCATCCCGCAGGCCCATGGCGTTGACCCCGTGCCACCACTGGACGAACTGTCATCAGAGCTCGACCCGGCAGTTGCGAAGAATAATACGAGAAACATGTCACCCAATCCTCGATGGATAACTGCTCTCACTACCCTCCCAGGGACAGATATTGTTCTCAGCGGTAGCTGGGATGGGTGGATCCGCGCCTGGAAGATTTCTAAAGATAAGCGGACTATCATACCACTGGGCCCCGTCGGTGCGTCACCACCGCCCTCCAATGTCACAACTGGGCTTACAACCAACGGCAACGGCAACAGTAACATGGATCTTGACATACCCTTGCTTTCCTCTGCGTCCGCTCAGCAGCCCCCACCACTTCTACGAGGTGTCGTTAACGACATCGCCGTATTCGAACGACGATCCCCAGATGAGGCGAAAGCTACTATTAGCAAATCCAAGTCGAAGTCGAAGTCGAAGTCGAAGTCGTCTCAGCTGGGTCAGGAACAGAATGGCCTCTGCATCGTGGCTGCACTAGGCAAGGAGCATAGGCTTGGTCGGTGGAAATATTCCAACAAGGAGGGGAATGGGAAGTGTGGTGATGGGACGGGGTTGGGGGGTAAAAATGGGGCTGTTGTGTTTGAGGTGAATTTCTTGGGAGAGGGAGTTGGAGAGGGTGAGGGCGCGAGGCTGGGAGCGGAATTGAGGATTTGAATTAATGGGGGGAGGTAAGCAGGGACCGTTAATGGACGGCATAGAGTAGGGTTTTTCTTTGTGTGGAAGAGTCAAGTTGGAATTAGGTCAATGTATGTGCTGATAGAGAAGGGAGTCGTATTCCTTATTTCCGCGACCCCCCCCCCCAGCGCATACCTCCCTTTCTTTTCTTTTCTTTTCTTTTCTTTTCTTTTCTTTTCTATTCTTTTCTTTTTTGGCAAAAGATGATTGCTGGACTACATGTGAATATGTATGCATATAATATCAATATACCTACCATCTTGTTAAGTGCAATACTGATGATATTCCAACTTTTATTGCACTGTGATCGTCCTCCTGAAATGTATTTGACTATCATCAATTGACAGGTTTATCTCCTTTGTGAACCTCCGTCCCTAAGCCATCACTAACCACAATTTATATATAAGGCTTCCCACCAACACAAACTCAATCCCCTACAGATCTCCAGCATATATTCTCCTAAATCCACCATGTTTACAAGAAGTTGCTCTTTCACTTTAGTGAAAGAATAAATCTCTCAAGTCAGGGCTAAAATATGTATTGCATCATTATTATGAAATCATGACCTCCTGTCCTGAAAGAAGGGGGAGAAGTTAAAAAAAAAAAAAACCCCGATAACGAAAAGTAATCCAGATCCAACACCGATTCTTAACACCTCGCTAATTTGAATATTCATTTTGTTTCTTGCCTCTAGGTTTTTTTTTTTTTTTTTTTTTTTTTTTTGCATGTATACAGTATGTATGTTGTGTTGTATGTGCGTGTGATATGTTTCCAGAACACATCCCACAACATTTTCGTTGTTGAGTTTTTTCTACGCAGGCCATTGCCGACTTCGATATAATGGATCGTGAATAGTTAAGTGTGGATGAGAGAAGAAAAAATAAAGAAAAACAGAAATAGGACGTGGGTATTTTGTTTGTGTATGTATTCTAGGAAATTCAGGGGTAAAATAAAAAGCAAATCGAAATAGGGAGAAAAAGGATATCATCAAATATAACAAGTTATAAAATACAAGACAGAAAGCAAGAGTATGTAAGAGAGCTTGGAAAAATGCAGCGGCGGACTGGAAACATGAAGATGACAGCGGGTTTGTCACATTCGTTTTCGCCTGTCGATGAGTAATGAGGGCAATGTGAGTGTAATAAAAGTCGCAAGTGCATGGAGTCTGTTTAATGGCGATAAAGGATGGGTTGGGGAACTGCCAAGGGAATCTGTAAGTGATAAAACGCCGGAGGTGCAGATGCTCTAATTTTGGCAATCAAATAATAGCGAGTTCTCGTAACCACAGGAGCAGCCAAGATCTCCTGATCAGTACTGGAATTTTCTATTATATCCCGATTATGCGGGGCAGCAAAGGCAGCCATGGCTCTTCGATCTTTACTCGGTTAGAAGAAAAAATAATAATAAAGAACAGAGCGCGTCACAATGAAAATACAGCTGCATTATGAAGCACTCAGCAATTACTAACCATGGCCTGGCTTCTCGTCCGACGGCTTCGGCGCTGATTGAATCGTACCCGATCTGGCCGTGATCCTCTTCGTCTTCTTCTTGCTGGCCTGATGGGGACGTCAGAATCATCGTCAAGTGTGATTGGGCTATTGGCGTGTGAACCCGACGCCTGGGCTTGATTTGAAACGTTTGTAATCAAGTGGCTTTCATCGCTATGATGGTCATCATAATCATCATCATCATCATCATCATCATCACTAACTACTGTCCTTCTGCTAACAGTTGTTGCACTGCTTAGGAGACGGCTTGGTCGTTCAAAGGAAGTGGACGATGTTTGACGCCTCTGACGCCTTTGTTGAATTGCTCTTGTTGGTGTTCTTATGGGCTCGTTGTCCTCGTCGTCCTCATCATGATCAGCATCAGCATCATCTCTATCCTCTTCTGTTTCCTCTTCCTCTTCATACTCATCGTCATCGTCGTCATCGTCAAGGGTGATTGTTTGTCGCACAGGGGGTCTTGTCGACCTTCCGGAGGAAGAGAGATTCTCCGTGGAGTGTCCATCAAGCTCCCCATCGGAAATTACGGTATTCTCATCAACCACTGTAGAATGATCGGTTTCCCCAACCTCTTCTATAGGACCGTCATCGATAAAATCTGACATGTCAGAGTCATGGGTATCTTCATCTTCGCTACGATAGATGTGGCCATGTATTATCGACGATGCGTCGGTATCTTGTTCGTGCTGGTGGTATTGATGCTGATGGTGGTGTGTGTTAAAATGGTTACCTGGAGCATTTACCCCGTAAAACTCGCTCCAGTCCATGCCATCGTCATCAATTGCCGAGAATCCGTCCTCGATATCATCAGCTGCATCCGTAATTGTTATCGAAGCATCATCATCCGTGATGTACTCTGAATCTGTGTATCCCTCGATCGCAAAGCCACAATGCAGACATCCCCCTTCTTCGAGCTCCCAAGCACATCGAGGACACCGTGTAACACCATCCATGACGTCATTTATTGGTTGGTTAAAGCGTACGGCGCATTTGAAACATCCTTGGAATAGACCTCCAGTGGACGGATCTGGATTTTGCCTGTCTATTTCGATTTTCTCAGTCTCTGCACGCTTGTTCGAGAGATGTTCCGCTGTGGTTTCATTATTCTCTAGCAACTCCGCTCGGCTGATAAACATCTGCACGATTTCGCGGATCTAGGCACAGTAAAGTTAGCCTCGTTTGAAAAGATATAGATAACGGAGGTGCGCTTACCAGATACGCTGGAGCAGGTTGGGTTGACACAATTGCTCGACAGTCTGGACATGTCTTTTTCCGTCGATGGCTCACAAACCATTGTGTAAGACACTGTAGCGGATTAGTTACTTATCATGAGTCGATGGACCCCGCCCCAGGTTTGGAGAAATTACACTGTAACAGAAAGTATGCCCGCATGCGAGTGTGAACGGTTCGTAGAGTGGCTTGACACAAACACCACAGTATATCAGAGATCGAATATCCTCAACATGGCCTTGCACGGTCCTTAAAAGCTTAACAGGTATCATTGTCAGTCGTCAGCAAACAACGTCGACATTCTATTACTGCACTTACCCCTGACAAGTCGTGTTTTCCAGATCCCGCAGTTGGGCCTGGAGTACCAATGCCTACTGTAGCAGACATGGTTTCTCACGTCACCAAAATCGTACGCTAAATCTGCACACAGTATAGGCAACAGACTGAGTAATGGGGAAAGTTCTCCTTGATGTTGAAGGCCGGGATTGGCGGAAATTGGGCGGCTGAGGTTGTTGATAAGCTACCTTGACTGAGAGATAGAGCTGTTCTCCGGGCCAAGAATGTCCAAGAAAGCTGAAACGAGAGACGTAATACGGGCTGGCTGCCTAGAGAGACAGTGGTCATGACAGGAGGGGAGGTGATTAGAAGAGACAAGTAACATCTGAGAGCTGTTGAAATATTTCAGGTCTTCTTGACTTAAGCCAATTAATTAAATCGATGGACGTCACCGCGTCGAAGAACTCTCGGGAAGTGGCCCACTTTTTAAGTAAGCATCACGTGATAGTGAATGTCAGGTTGGTAAAATTCACTTCCGATTACACTCATCCACGCACGATCAGAGATAAACTACTTCCACAGCCAAGTCACATCTTCTTCTCATGTTTCATTGTTGATCTTTCTGAGGTTCTCTTGGTTTCACTCTTCATGGCGGCTGGGAAACCGTCATGTTGCTTTTCACAGCCTGTGAAAATAAGCCAGTCATTCTGTCAACATTACCAGATATTTCCTTCAAGTTCTTCTCCAGCTCTTGTAGCTAACAGCTCAGCGCTGACCCTGGTATCTCCTATCATCATTGGGACTCCTTGAAGAGTTGCTGCCACAGACAATGCTGTATTGAAATCAAATCGCGGTTCGATATGCGAGAAAAAGTTGGAACCACTTTTTAACAATGCATAATAAATGCATTGTGGGACAGCCACGAAGGTCACTTTGGTCAAAGAATCGGGATGCAACAAGCAAGGGCTGGTCCAGTAGTTAACCTTTTTGTTTAGACCCTGGCATCTTTTGGACATTTTTTCTGCATATGAAATGGTTCGTTTTCCAAACCAGCGCCATATAAATACCGTATGGTGCCCCACCCCCCCAACTCTTTTGGAACAAATTTGGGATCTTTCTACCACTTATGCACTGTCAGAATGCTACAGTTTGACCGTTTTATCTGAAAGCAATTTACAACTTACATATAAGAACATCTTCTACGTGTCTGATGCTCATAACCTGACATTTGGTATAGGTCTATCGACTGATCTCTGCTCTGCTTTTTGGTTGAAAAGATATTGGTTGCGCCTTTCGACCGCAATGAAGTTGGTTTGGTGTGTCGATATCTGTCAAGATTAAAGCGTTATCCTGTGGGCAAACTTCCCAAAACTCCCGCAAGTCCCACTCGACTATCTCCATATACAGGTGGAGGGGAAGTCAAAAATGCAGGGTTGAACTATATACCATCTCGAATCTATGCAATTTATTTTTGGGTTTTAATGTTTTACCACTGCTTTATTACTATATACTCGCTTATAATCGCAGATAGCGTTTGCTTTTCTGCTCGTTCATGTGAATGCCATGAAGCCCTACGCAACCTGACTTCCATTTCGACCACCCTACTTTCGAGCCATTCAGCTAAATAAACGCCCCGCCTCGTTTCGCGAATTTCGTTCGCAATTTGGTTCCATTCAGAAAGTAACGGTATGACAGAATTAATCGCTGGACCAATTTCGAGAGGTTAAAAACCCCCAACGCGACAATTAATATCCTGCTCCCCAATACAACAAATGTACTTAGGAAATGTTGTTCTGCAACAAGGACGAAAGCAAGTAAACTAACAACAATGCTTAAACCCAACAAGCGGCAACTCCCTCCCACGAGTACTACCCTTCAGGCGCTGTAATTATGCCAATTAGCCGCCCCCCAACATAGTTATTTCTCCCGGAACCTGTTTATAATCATCTTCCTGCAAAAGATTCCACGACTTACTAAGAATTAGCACTAAATCGCTTTCTAAAGCGTGCTTTGAGTTCCTCGGAAACTAAATGGCTATCGTCTGTGTAGCCTTTTGGCACCAGTTCGTCTTCGACCATTTCATTATTCATGTGGGCGAGGAATTTCTCCTGTTCGACCAGGAACTTCTTCATCGCCTTTGTGTTGAAGTTTCTTCCCGCGCGTCTCCTATTGCGGATCTCTTTGAGCTGGATCCGGATTCGTTCCTCAAGCATCTCAAGCCTATACTCAGAAAACTGGAAGTATAGCTCCGAGAGGTCAGATACTGCACGAACGGTTGTTAAAACGGTGTCGTCGCGGATGACCGCTGAGCGCGGGCGAAATGATGTTACCATCGTGATTCTCTCGGTGTTACCCATAGCGCGTAGGGCTTGATGCTCAATATATCGACCTTGGAGTACAACCGCACATCCCTGACACAACACCACTCAACACCCGTGTGAAAACATCCTTGTCCGTTCTCAGAGAACTTACCATCTGCGGCCCTCTGACTTTGAGGATCGATCCATCCCCTTTTCTCACTGCTGTTTCGCCGCCTACCATATTCGTGCAGTCACTGAGCATTGTCACGCAGACAAATGGATAGCTATCTGTATGCCAATCCACGACAGGCATCTCCTCCCCATCCTCCTCAGGACCGGGAAGCTCTTTCTTAGCCTGTGGTAGGACAGAAATGTTGACATGCCCTAACTCCCAGTCCATTGAAGGGACGAGATCGATTCCAGCAATTGTTGAAACGATTCCCAGAACCTCTGGGCTTCTCCACGCATCATAAACAAAAGGAGCATATCTTATGTGCATAATATTAATCCACTGTAAGTAGGGACGAGAGAAAAGGAACGACTTACTTAGGAGCATATCCTCGCAGCTGGCTCTGGGACAGATTGCTAGAGAAGTGATATTTTGCCCAGACTTGATCATTGAGAACCTCTTTTCGCATCTGGAAAATGGCTTCAGGAGAAAACAGCGGGAATGGGTCGGAGACACCAATTGGTGAAAGCCCAACATCGTGGCTATACTCAAGCTCCTTCATCGAATAGACTTTCGATGGAGGAGAGAACTGGAGATGTTTCTGTGGATCAAACCGAACGGATTCCTCAGAGGAAGGGGCGTCCACAATGCCAGTGGTGTCGGATTTTAATACGTTGGCTCCATTGAAGGTGGGAGGCATGTGGGCCGGGGTGGGGGTGAGGATATCTGCTGTCGCCATCGTGCTGCTCTTCGGTGTCTGTGAGTACTTGGCCTTCACACAACTTTTGGTGTTGAGAACATATCCCTACGCCACCGCCGTTCATGATAAGTTGACGAACGATGATAGGCCCCCGAACAGATATGATTCGACATCATTCAAACACAAACAGGGCGTCCTAGCATTTCCTTCATCGAACTTACAATGCGTGGCAAAATCTCCTTATATTCGCTTTTATCAACAAGCAATGTCAAGGAGATGTTTATTTAGTTATTGGAAACAGACAGAGTCAAATGTTCGAGGCGTTTGAGACGAGAATGAGATAGGGGTTTACAGAACTTTCAGTTAGGACAAATGATCCTTCCGCTTGGGGTAAATGAAACAAAGCTGATTTGAAACAGGATTATTGTTGTTGAGGGAGGAAGGGGATATTTATAGTTGTTGGTTCTCTATGCCCCTTTTTTTTTATTTTTTAACACTCGTATTGATCTACATTCTTCATGACAAAAGTGTATTTGCATATGAGAAATGGCCAGGGAACCAGTCCCAGCATTGACCATGGAGTAGATTTTCAGAACTCAAAGCAGTGACGACACATCTTCCGGGAGGCATTGAAACAGATTGTACGAGTCCAGCCCCATTTCCTATAATAGACAGACTTCTTCTGCTCTTCACACTACAAAGGGATCTCTATATCCAGTTACAGTTTTCCCTCGACACCCAACAACCCCAACGAAACCTGTCCAATCTCTGAAATCTAGGTTTGATAATTGTGACATGGAGCAAATCAAAAGATCCCGGGGTCGGTAAAGCTTAACTGTTTGCCGAAAAGACAAGCACATCAAACACATCAGCAGCCCATGATTCAGCCCATGATTCCAGCGGATCACCGCCTAACATGGATATTATTCCTTTGTTTAGTTTGGTATGGAGTCGTCAATCACCTCCCAACCCGTCTGGGTTTCAACGAGCTATGACCTGGGTAAGGTCCAGACCTCTATCGCCGGGCAATTTCGCTGTTCTTACCCAAGCCGCACCACGGATGAACGTCCACGCGCATCCAACATCATTTGACTTTCTATGTCTTATGAACAATTACAGCCGACGATGGCCCCTAAAATTGAATGCGTTAAATTCTTCGTTGACTCATATTCATTCATTCGCAGGCGCGAAAATCCTTGCCAATGTCCAAATTAGAGGTAGAGATATACTCGAATACCATTACCACTACAAGGCAAATAATTAGTTAATGCTAGATGCTGGGTTGGCTCTTCTTCACAACCTTGTCGTGTGGGCGGATATTCTGGACAGAGTTGGCAAAGATATCAAAAATGGCCGCATACCGAAAAAGCCATGTGTGACATTGACTACACTGTCCCTTGGCATTTAGTGCGGAAAAGGAATTTGAGGGTGTTGTTACGAATGAATGACGGTAGTTGTCACTTGGAAAGCAAACCTTGGAATCCTTCGATATCTCCCAAAAACTAAAATAATTATTAGTTATTACTAGGCATTAGGGATAATCATGAAGCAAGCGGAGGCAAGGAATCTATGTACATTCCTGCTTGGACTGTTTTCCTTCCTTTCTTTCCCCTGCCACACAAACCTTCTAGAGAGGACCAACGGAGTGCGGCATGGAAATTTTGACTCAATTTGGGTTGTCGGATTGGAGCCCCGTTACGATCCTTTAACCCCCTCCTTTCGAATTGGCTTTCTAGAATTTACAGGGTAACGGCAAGACTTAACTACCATCCAGAATACGGGAGAAGAAGCCTATTTTTCAGTTCTTCCAAAGATTTTTCCTATGGAAAACCCTCTTGATATCACCATCGGTCTATCACCACACACTCCAGCAAACTTTGGCGGAGCAGAAGGAAAAAAGATAAGCGTAGGCAGCTCAATGATTTAAATACAATATGATCGAGATCTACCCCACATTTTTTCGTTCGTTGTTAACTATTATGTTGGCATGTATAAAAGTAATTATTTTCAGCTCCCTCCTCTTTCTTTATATGTGTGTTCTTGTCCATCTGATAAAAAGTATAGTTGCCATTGTGCCCATGTAAGAGAATGTGAGAATGGGCTATTGAGTGTGCCCCGATTGGATTCACAGGTTAGCATTGCGAAATACTGTATGAATAGCTGACATCGTTATTTCAGATTCAGATATGGAGGTGAAAAATAACATCTAACCGGGGAGCATCTGCAACGCTTCAAGTATGAAGAGATAGCTAGTTACAGGATTCAGCTGCCCCTCAGAAAACAGCTAACCGAATCTGTTGCGATTGTGAACGTTTAATGAGAAAAACCTTAGAATGTTCATTAATTCTCTTCATTTCTTCTCAGTCATCAATCTCTTTTCTACCATTGTATTCTTAGTCGTTTTTGTTGTCCTCATATTTCAGGGCATTGAATTCCTGAGGTTATAACTAAATAGTTACTTCCTTCTAAAAGGAACTCGTTACAGTTGTTGTTTTGTTGATTCATTCCCCTCATTTCAACTCTTCCAACACTGTCAATCGCGGCAACAAATCCACAAAACGGCTACTTCCAGCCAATGATGAAGACAGACTGTGCAATCAGGAAAGTATTTTTTCCCTGATGTCATGAAACGTATTTCTTTCATCTCAATTTGTTGGAGTTGGATTTGATGCCACTCAATTTGCATTTGCTTAGACACAAGGGACAAAATGACTATTGACTGAGTGCTTCGGCCTGTTTTGCCAATTTGCCAATTATAAGTTCAAAATGAAGTCAGGCTTCTCATTTTGTTAATAAATACGGACATTGATCCTATAATGTGGTTTACATACCATCGGACTTCTCCAAAGGCTATCGAAGTTTTACGAGCTTCTCAGAAGATTTCCAGATTTCAGTCCGCTCTCTTGGGAGGCAACCCGGAGTTGGTCCTTCTGACGGGTTTGACTTGCATATGCGCCGCCGTACTCCGTTCCGCTGTGAGATACAAAATGAAAAGAAAAGGATAGGGCCACTCCCTTTTAGATCGCTCTGAGCTTTCTTTCTTAAATTCGGTGACTGGAGTTCTCATGATGTTTTCAGTTATTCAACGCTATGTGCGCGGCGTTCTATGCCTTCTAGCACTCCTTAACTACCTCGAGCCAAATGAAGCAGCGCAAACTACTACGAAAGACCTCTCAAGAGCCCCGGAAACTTGTTGTCAGGCATTAACTGCAACGGTTGTTGGAAATGATACCAAATACAAAGGCATCTGGATAATCGCTCCTCAATGCTGTCAAATAACGTAAATAGGAAGCTAAGCAGTATTTTGGTCTGACATTGTTACATTGAGACTCCACTCTATTCCGGAAGCTCCGAAAACCGAAGATCATGTTCCCACTGAAGGGAATAATTGTCTTTTGCTCCCTTCGAAAGTACATATAAGAGCTGGGGGTGCCTTACTCTGGATATTTCTTTTCAAATTCATGTTGAGATCGTTTGATCTTTCTTTCCATTTATTTACCCAGTTTTCCTCGTTATTTGAATTCTGGTCTACCAGATCCATCCAAGTTACCAAACCAAGGGGAAGAAACGGTCATGATTATGCCTATATTCATTTTCAAAAAAACAAGACCTATATATATTCTATAGGAGACAAGATTATTCTGTGAATTTTATCTCCCAGCCACCAGAATCTATTGGCAAAAATAGGTGTTTCAAATCTCCCATGGTTGAAAACATGTCCTTCAAAGTTTTGCGTACTTCTTCGCTATAATCTGAACGATCAGAAACTAGGTCTCGCAATATTATTTCAAGAGTTTCTCGATATCAGAAATCTATCTATCATTAGCCAATTTGAACTTCTTAATAAACTACTGGTTATATTTAACCGACTGGTAGCAGGATAATGTAAATATTCATACCGATACCCTATGGAGACAAATATTCTTTGGAGACGGAACAAAAATGGGCATCGATTGAGCCCATGCCTATACTGTAGTTCTTGGGGAATTTTCCGTCGGACCCACTGCCAAAATGACGACGATAAAATATTTCCCATGTTTGTGAAAATTTCCAAAGGCTGCTGGCTGTTCACTCTTAGTTGGATAGTCCAGAAAGTCGAAGTCAGAGTGCTATATACGTTCTCGCGATCACTTTCTCTACACTTCCTAACTGCTTCAAAAGGATAAGAGCCGCATAACTTTACATGAATATTTCCGTAAGCTTCGAAAGTAGTGTACAAATCACACGATACGAAACTCTTTCCATTTCTTTCCTCTCTTTTTCTTTTTCTAGGTTTTCTAGTGAAACATGAGACGGGTCCGTTACTTCTTGCTATTCATCTCGTTTTGATGTTCGACACTTTTAGATTTTCAAATATGTTTTCAGAAATTCAAATAATTATAAATTTAAGCAATTCTTTCCCCCTTCATCTGAGATGTTAGCGACCGGTAGGCGCAAAAACTAGCACTAATATGGAATAGCTCATGACTAAACTCAATTTAACCTAGCGGCTCTGTTCTGCGGTTGAGTTTTCCCTCTGGTCTTCGTGTTTCGACGTTCGACCTTTTCCCGTCTCCAACAGACCGGGAGGATTTGCACAGCATGGACGCGGACAAGGTGAAGGAAGAACCCCAGAGTGTCTGGGAGAAGGCGAAGCCCATGTTCACAAAGTTGGTTCTTCTTTTCTGCTCTCTTCTCGCGCAATTGCATTGAATTGGACTGCCCCAGTGCCTCTTCCAAATTTTGGGCGGAATTGAGTCGGCTAATTGCACTCATTTCACTAATCCAACCATTGCATTGCTGCGTCTGCTAATTGCTCTTTATACCTGTGGAGTGTCAAAAGCTAACGGATATTCTTCTTTATCTTTGGAATGTTATAGCAAACCAGCTAGCGGGTACTACGACCCCTGTCAAGATTTCGCGGATCGCAGTATCAAATGCATGCGGCGCAATGGTAACGATAAGACGATGTGTAGCGATTACTTCCAGTGAGTATATTTCCCGTCTAGGCTGTACATTTATCCAATAAACATGATACCTTTGTGTTTGAATGTCACGGTTTCGTTGTTGGCGGGTGCTGACTGGTGCATTTGTTAAGAGCATATCGTGATTGCAAAAAGGAATGGGTATGTGATATTATGTTTTCTTCTACTTGGTTGGGGTTACAAATTCCTTGACATCTTCACTCATTTATCGGAATGTAAACTGCGGAATACACTGGGCCACGCGTTACATATTGCTATTTTATATCTGGATATTATAGAGGGAAGTGCTAAGACCAATCTAACGTATATCTCCCTTGCAGACGACCCAGCGGAAAAACAAATCCTAACGGTTACATCGGACGGTGAATCAAATCCAAGGGCATCAAATTCAAGCCTCCGGGAAAGCGGGAAGATTGCAGCCAAGATAATGACCATCCTGGTTTTTTACAGGACTGAAACTCGCAATCATATCGCAATCATATATCTACATACCCCGCGCGTTACTGCTCATGATACCGATGTTTACTTTATGAACATGAAATATTTTTACTTTAACAACAGAAGAGAGCGTGTTCGATATATACTAGCCAAAGATGCGATGACGATCCAACAATCTTGCAGTCCCCGATAAGACCAAAAGGCCATTTGAACTGGATCGGTGGACGAATAAAGAATGCCTCTTGAGTTATTCCCCTCGTTGACTTTTGCTGGTTTGCAATACCATCGACACCAGAAATCCTTTTTATATTTTTAGTCTGCTAAGGCTGTACGTTGTCTGGGTTATTTTTAACTATCTATCGTTTATTTATTTGTGCACAGCGCTACCCCACATAATAATTATAGACTTCGTTCTTTGGTAATCTAACTCCTCGGAACTTCCAAGATTTATTCTCTCCCTATCCACTTACCATGAGCAAATAATGATTTGATGTCTCTCGACCCCTGTTGGCCAAGGAAACATTTCTACGCGCAATGTAATAGGTCATCTATGTTTTTTCTTGATTTATCGTCTAGGGAATCTTGCCCTGCTAAAATCAGGATTGAGAAGTGCTTCAGACTATGTTTCGTGACAGGCGTCTGTAGTGTAGTTGTGGTGACATCCAAGCCCACGCAGGATGTTTTTAAGTGCTTAGCCCGCCTTTTCTAAATATAGGAACCGACTCTCAAACGTCAATCTAATAATATTTTCTATTAGTTTAACTACCTAACGGAGTTCGGAAGAACGATGCGCACATTTAAGCCATTATCACCCTCAAGCTCTCGTTTCTTTGGCTCTTCTCCCCGAATTTGATGCCTCTCGTCCAATCTCTACGGCACACCCTCCAAGATGTTGGCATTGGCCTCGCAGCTGGGTTGCTCTTTTGTCCGGTGTGTTCAACAGGGCCTCCCTTATCAGGACAGTTGTATATTCTATCCATTCTTTAAACACCACTGCTGAAAGCAGCACATGATGGTTTCAAAGTTGTTGGCTCGTTTTTCTCCTCCTTATATTTGCTGCCTGCTTGGCTCAGGTTTAACAACGTAGTTAACAAATGCATACAGGGGTTAAACGTAAGCTTGCAGGGCTGCGTTTCCAGCATATCTCTACAAGATGTCGAGATATTAATAGCTAACTCCAGTTATATTCGAAAATTATGTCCGAGTACTCCGTAACTACTGAAAAGTAAAACATATTTAGTTTCTCTCGCGGAAGTTTCATAAAATTCAACGATGCAGCTACACTTTCGATGTCTTCCACCCAGGCCCTTACCCACCCGAACTGTTTGCAATGACGGTTCTCCTGGATTCGAGATACGTCGCCCTTAGGAGCCCGCCAAACGCCGGTGTCCTGGGTGTTGTGGCAGATGTGTAAGTTGTTTCTTTTCTTCAAGACTGGGATATTCCGCGGTAACCTCTCTGAACCGACCTTCTCCGTACAGCTTCCTGCTTCTCCTTCTTATTGCATCTTATATTCCACAGTATATTCGCATCAGAAAGCTTAGAAGTACCCATGGAATCTCATTCTATTTTGTTCTGCTTCGCTCCATCTATGCAACAGCCAGCCTTTCGAACTTATTAATGTTGGCTCCTGTCTTCTGGAATGTACAAAAATGCCGGACTACATACTCGCCGGGACGGTGCTTCTCGGAAAATTTAGTCGTTTGGCAAATGGCGGCAGACTGGGTGTTTTCACAGGCAATGTAAGTTATCTCTGACCTACATATCCGAAGGGAATTTTTTATCAACTACTAATTCCTGGATGATAGATTGTTCCTTTACTTATACTACTATTCCAGTCCTCAATCTAATCACCGGCCGTCTTCTTCCTCATCGGAGGACGGGGTGGGGCAAATTCCCGTACGAGAAGCTGCCCGTAATATGGCTGCTGGTGTTACGATTGCCGTTCTTGTTATTTATCTATTTCTCCTTGGCCCTTCCATCGGATTTGTGACATCATACCCAATTCGGGATCCTGGTTACTACATTCTTCTACAGACATGGTCCTTTGTCCTTATCGGAGCCTCGTGCCTACTCGTGATAATCAGCTTCCCGACGCAGATATATCACACATACGCCTTAAAGCGAACCGGAGCGCTAAGTATTCAAGCTCTGGCTATACAAGTGCCCATCTACATTCTCCAGGCAGTATCTCTGGCAACGTGGTTCGAATTAAACAAAAACAGCAACTTCTTGGCGCTCTACCTAGGAGCCTATAATGCTTGGTTCAATATTTTACTTTCCTCTTTCTGGGAGTGCATCTTGCTGGTTACAAGCATGTGCTATATATACCAAACACGAAAGTTGCACGGGCGGGCTTCTGATACTGTGGGGCATCAGAATGCTGACGAAAGTGGTGATTATTTACCAGATGAGAGAACACATCTTCTTCGCGGTGAAAGTTCAAGTTTTACCGCAAGATGATCTTTCGGCTTTGTCAACTTTTCCTTTTATTTTAACTTATGGTTCTCAACAATAAAACCTCCTGTTTTGTGGTTATTTGCATTATTCGTTTTTTGTTGTTTTCATTCCCATGGTATAAATTTATTATCTAACCTCGATATATTGTTGCAAATACTTGGTAAATAGTTACACTAATAATTAAGTCTCCGACCATGATATTATCAAGGGCATACGTCGGCCTAGTCCGAACAAAGTGGCGCATCCTTGTGTGAATGACGCCTTGAGAACTGCCAAAATTTTAGATCTTGTAGCTGAAATTTCAAATTTAAACTGCCTGAACGTCTAAACAATTGGTAAAATTACATCCCCGAATATAGGGTATCCCATTGTATTGTTATCTTGAACTGATCTAGCTTGCATTTTGTAGTTTCGTGTCGTTGGACAGTGGAACCATCACCGGGTAGCTGGAAGCGAACCATGGTTCAAATCTGATAACCTTACCCTACAGCGTTAATATGACTCTACGAGATGAATTGCTATGAACATACCGAGAGAAGAATCGCCAAATTTATAAAAGGGTGCGGGCCACACATTGAAGTTACGTCCTTGGTTTGGTTGAGCTGGTGCCTACAGGTAATCGCTAACCCCTGGGATCCTAATTCTTCCTTTCATATTCTGAAACATCATCACACTATGATCCTAAAAACAGCGCCTTAGAGAGAAGCAGGTCCTCTTCAATCTATAAAACGATTGCTGTATAAAGTGTATCCGTGGATCGAGCAGGTCCTCTTTTCACCAGGCTTCCTCGTCATTGTCGTCACTAACCTGGCACGATTCCGCCTTGTCATTCAATCCCTTTTGCTTTTTCAACTTGGCCAGTTCTAGTTTCAACTTCAAAAGCTCAATGTCATCCTCGGGGGATTCATTATCAAAGTCATCATAGCCGTAATTTCTACTCTGGAGTGCCCCCGTGTTGCGTCGACTGATGCCATGACGCCTGGGTGGTGGATTCTTCCTCGGGCGGCTTCCTTGCATGGATTGTTTTTCGGGGGATGGTTCGTAATTATCCTTTCTAACTTCCTCCCGTTCGGCAAGGATTCCGTACGTGTCTTCTTCCTGGATTCCATGGATGTCACTGATATAATCGTCGAAATGAGCGCTGGTTTGAGCTATGCGGTTGAAATGGGCTACCTTAACCTGAGGTCGTTGAAGTTTGGCACTGTCTTTTCCTTCGCGAAAATCCCAGTTGGCAAGCGCGAGAGCAGTCTGGAAAGCGTTTTTGATCTGTCTACCATTCCAGCGTCGTGAAGGTTTATACTTATTGTCCTGCCAATGCTTATTGGCAAAGCGCCTAAGCTTATCCTCCTCGATGTCGATGTCGCCACCGCTTTTCTTGATATGTTGAATATTCTTTTCCCAGATCTCTTTGGTTGAGATTTCGTCAAGCTTTGGGTAGTACAGACTCATATGAATTCGGGATCTAAACGCCTCATCGAATTCACCAACGCGATTTGTGGTCAGAATGATAACCCCAGAGTAATACTCCAACACCCGCAAGAAAACTACGTATCGATTAGAAAATATCTTTGACACCACCACATTCAATTCACGGAAGCATACCTGAAACGAGACTATTGCGTATTATGTCCCCTTTCTCCCTTTTTGCGAGGAAAACGTCGGCCTCGTCGAGAAGCAATACGCATCTCCACCTATGTGCCAAAGCACAGAATGACTCAAGTGTTTGCGAAACTGTTTCAGCAGTTGTGCCAATATCGCCGCAAGTAATTGGTAATAATGGACGCTTTAATTGGGCCGCTACACACTCGGCGGTAGACGTTTTGCCAACTCCAGGTGCACCATGTAACAGAATGATAAGTCCTCTACCTTTACCAGGGACTGCATCCATTGAAAACGGTTCGCCTGTCCCATCATGTTCTCCGGAGACCTTAGGCTGTTCCACTTGGTTTTTAATTAACGCCTGAAGGATCATTCGATGACCCTCTGGTAGAACAAGATCTTCAAATCTAGCCCGATTCACGCGATCCTCGCGTGCTAATAAATCCTCCACCAAATTGATATCAAGGGGAAGCCATTTATGGTCAAGAAGGCCATATCCATAAACTCGAGGAGGGAGAAGCATCAGGTGGTTATCTGAAACTGAGACTGAGAGTAACGTTCGGAAACCAAGAAGGTCGGTGGATCGGCGATATTCATTTTGACGGTCTTCTTCAAATTTAGAGTCTTCGAAGACGTCTGTAACCCAACTACCGTCTTCTTGTTCTGGGAGTGCATCAAACGTCTCCCTCTTGTCTTGTGGAGTGGACCTAGCGATGGAACCGCCTCCGAATTTCAGATTTCTACCAAAACGATATACTCTTTGTTTAAAATGCTCGACCCCAGCTGCCTGGTCTATCATGATCTCACTGTGCAGCTGTTTGATATCATGTCAATATTAAAATGTTAATCATTGAACTTTCAGTTATCGAACTGGAGAATGAGAGTAATTACCTCGGTCTGTTTAATAAGCCAATTGTTATAGCCCCTCGTGGTTTGATTCCCTTCTTGGATCGTGCTACCCGAGTACTTTTTATGGGCACCCGGAACAAGCTTCACAAAACGGCGTCCTCGCTCAAGAAGGCTTTGTTGTATTTGTTGACTCTCCGAACCGGGGAGAAGCGGAAAAGGTACTAATGTACTTATGGGTTTGGTACCGTTGTATGGCGGAATGGCGAATCGTATTGGTCGGGGACCCAGTTTACCACCATCGAAGTCGATATAGAAGGCGTCAATGATGAAACATGTCATGTCCATGCCAGAACACTTGATAGCATCGCGGCATTTCTCTTCATTCTCCGAATCTGAGTCCCCAATCTGATCGATTATACCTGTGTATACAGCTTTAAAACCACTATCAAAGTATGTTCTCCCCCCTGCAATATTTAGAATTCGATAGGCCTGATGCCGACCACTATATTCATCTGATTTTGAACCAAGGATAATGGCTCCAGGTTTGTACAACATCCATAGATGTTCAAATGGGATCTCTGTGAGACTGGAGTTGGAAATTCGGTGTTTGGCATCAAAAATATCGTGCATGTCTCTGTCCATGAACTCCACAAGACAACGGAGTTGGTTCATTTCTCTTCCTGCACACGAAACTGCTTTCTTGGCATCTTCTATGAGGGAATCATGAGTCCCTTTTTGAGTTTCTCGTTTAATTTTCTCATCTCCACTCAGCTGCTTGGTTGAGCTGGCTACGGTAACGACAGCATCCGGATTATCCTGAGTCAATTCACTCAGCTTCGAGATGACCTGGTCGTAGGTTGCTTCAGCCTCCTTGAGGAACTGTCGAATATCGGACTCGTACGCCACGAGGTACTTGAACGGACGCACGAAGACATTTCGGCTCTCAGTGATGCTTTCACCGGTGAGTTGGCTTAATACATCTAAAAGGTAGGATGAATTTATGGCAAGGCGGTATGGAACATCAAATGGGCTAGTATCAGTACTACTCTCCGTGGCGCTTTTGTCCGCGGAATTTGATAGTTTGAGAGCTCGGTGTCGTTGTTGGGACCTAGCATTTGCTTTCGAGGAGACTAGGAGAACGCTTTGTTGAGGGATAATTTTCCGCTCCCTTTTGATTTTCCGCCATTTCCCTGGTGAAACCCGCTTAATGGCTATTTCTTGAAAATCTGCTTCATCCCTTGGGCCGTTTGATGGTTGTGTAGCGGTGCCTTCGTCATTGTCACCACTAGGGTCATCGATGGTCAGCAGTGTCTTGCGAGTAAATTGTGGTAGATTCATAACTACCCCTTAGCCCTTTGGATAGAAATCAATTCATTTTGACCAGCTACCAACGTCTTGAGAAGCTCCTTCACGTCGTTGCCTGGTGTGGCAGGACCGCAATTTTCACAGGTAGTCGGCAGATCTGCTGTATTATTTTTCCCACTCTGAGATGCAGATGCTGGATGGGACAAGATTCCGTTGTGATCAGGCCCCGCATCAGTATGGGGAAGGTCCAAAGAATCCATCAGCGGTGCTGGATTAGTAGCTAATGTCATGGTCAAGTTTCTCAACAGGCGGTGTTGAGATATCAATATAGAGACTTAATTATTTCCTCTTCTGATTTCATTTTCTTGTATTCGGCATCGCCAAATGATCTAGAAAAAATTTCTTGTGTTTATTATAATAGCTGAGGGAATCTGGTGGTGGGGTCCAGCAACAGAACCCCAGTGCGAGCTATTTTTGCATCAATTTCAGCTACATCCCCGAACTCGCATGAAGCCAAGAGGAGCGATTCGTTTTGGGAATTGACGGAGTGGAGTCTCATGAATTCACAACACATCCATCATCTGGCAACATTTGAATTTCCCCTGCTAGATTTGCGCAACGTTGAGCCTTGTACAGCCGTACTCAGCCTTGCCCAAGGTGATTTTTGCGTCTCCATTCGACATCCCAAGGGTCATAGCGTTGGTCGACGCATGGAGGGGCGGGACAAATGTTCAGAGAATCCATGTATGGTCGTAACTCAGCCTCCTACAGTGTTAGCTTGCATGATTCCAATAACTATCACTTCCGCATGCACAAAATCCAAACATCAACGTGATCTTGCCCAAGAACATCATATATCTCCGAACATTCCCGATTTTACCATATGCTCAGTCCTCGATCCTTAAAAATTGACATGACCTAGGGCAATATCACCAAGAAGCACAATGAGTGATGAGACATTTTGTCGTGATAAACCTCCTACCCGCCACCGCCTTGGCGGGATTGCAGACTTGTATATCCGTAAAAGACTCAAGCGCGATTCCCATCCTGGTTTCGAAGCCATGAGAGAAAATGAGGAGACGCGGAACGAGCTGCTGCGACCACCTGGCCTGGGGGATACGTCATTGTCACCAATCAAAAAGGCAAATGTTGAGGACGCAAACAACGAGCTTGAATCTGATGACGAGGATGATGCAGTGTATGGTGGGGCAATATCCAATACAAATGCTGTATAAACTGATATTGAAGCAGACAAGAGCTGTACATCGATATCGAGCAGCAAAGGAAGCGCTTCAGTGAAGCAATGGAAGCTTACGAAAGAACAACTACCGGGTCGACATTCAAGACCGATGTCACGACAAAACCGGTGCATACATGGGAGGAAGTGTTGGAAGAGGTGAATAAAGCATCAGATCGTTACAACGATGTATCTGGATTTTGGGGGAAGATCAGGAAAGGCCTTCGCAGATTCGGAAAGAACAACAAAGCCTTTGAGGCTTGGGCGAGCCTGTTACCATCCCAATCGCATTATTTCTCGGTCCTGTGCGGAGGAATGAAACTGATATTTGGGGTTTGTGACTATTGATCCCTTGAACTTTTCGCATTTCGCGTATTAATAACCCCTAAGGCTGCAGCACGCCTACATGATCTTCGAAGCGATATAAGCGATGCATTAGCAGAGATTCCAACCCTCATCGCAAGCACACACAAAGCGCTAGGCATATTTAGAACGTCAAACGATTTGCGTCGATGTAGTGCAGCACTCTATTCCGCTACAATAGCCGCCTTACACCTTATTGTCGTATGGTACAAGGAAAAAGCATTGAGTAAATTCTCCCGACAAGGCCTTGAAACCGCAAGAAGCTCAGCCTAACCAGCGTATAGAAAAGCTGCGCCGGAGCATATTCAAACAGGATGCCTACGAGAGACAACTGAGTGATTGTCTTAAAAATATCAGGGAAGAATCCAAGCGTTTTGAACAAGCTGCTCAGTTGTGTTCCTATGAGGCAATCATGAACACGAAGCAATTGATTATCGACCAGGGCGATGAATCGCGCAAGCATCAGGAGATTATACTTGGGTATTTTGATCAGTCGAGAAACGAGTTTTTTGACTTCCGGAGCAACTTCATGTTGGCTGCTGGTAGTGTGAATCGAGAGGTCCGCTCGATAGGCAATGAGGTCTCGCAGCTGCGTAGAGTGCTTGCCGGATTTCTCAGCAGCAATTCTCGAATGGATTTCAGATCGCAGGATGGTTAGTTCCCCCCGCCCCTGAGCAGTTCAGGTCGTACATTTTGGCTGACTTTGGATTAGTAAGAGGCCCGATGCTGCCGTTACGCAGGTCTGTGTCTGAGTCCGATCTATTACAAGGTACAGGAAACCTAGACACCTTTCCCCCATGACCAAGCCCACTTACCATGACAGATTACCTTCTTGCAAAAACTGAACTGCTTTTGGGTTTCGATTACAAAAGCTCTGCCGTTCGCCACGACATAGAAACCAGCCTTCAAAAGATCTGGACCTTACCCACACCAGACCAAGATCGTGGAGTTGCAGTAATGCAATCGCCAAAGCTGCACCAATGGATCACTAATACCAATTCTTCAGCTCTCTTAGTCAATTTTAATGGTTCCAAGAAGACAGCATCGACATCCTTTATTTCCGCGAAACTGACGCATTCGATCCTGTCAGACGCCATGGATCCACATTACCCAAGGAATATATTTCCCTTATTCTACCTTTGCGCACAAAACATGCGTCAAGATGATCCGAACTTCGGGGTCAGCAGAATGATGCGAAACCTGATCAGCCAACTACTCGTCGCCTATCCTGACTTCACCATGAGCTTTCTGAAACATATACAGCGTGCAAACCAGGAAAACATCAATAGTCTATGCCAAACCTTCCATATGATGATCGCCCAACTCCCACCGCATGTGACGGTCTTCTGCATTCTTGATTGTGTTACTGTATATGAGCAGAAAAGCTCGCTGAGGGGGGAAGGAGAATTTGTGGTCAAAGAGCTCATGGAAATTGTGAATTGGACCCGGGACCATGGATGCAATTTCAAGGTTTTTTTGACCAGTGCATGGAACAGCCACGTCTTTTATAAGTACGTGCCGGATGAGAAGAAATGTGTTATATGGTTGCCGGCCAAGGTGCCACCGAAGGGTGGGTTTACAAGTATGAAATGGAATTCCAGCGTTGCTTTAGATGTTGCTAAACTGAGGGTTTCCTAGTGGCCCGGTAAGCAGTGTAAAACAGAGATATCAGAGGTACCAGATAGGTAACAAAAAGAGAGATCAATCGTTGTTTAGTACCAATGGAGGTTTAGCTGAATCCACAAAGAGAAGAAACACGTCAGGCTGTCGTAAAACTTCTTTTAATGTTGTTGTTGTCTTCTAAATGAAAATTTGACATGCGCGGCTAGCAACCTCGGTAGAAATGGCGCTAAAAATAAGCGGGCAAGGCGGGTAATTGGCGCCGACTTTGTACCTTCCCGCAGAATTGCGCCGGAGCGATACATAACATATAATAGTGCATGTCTTTAAAACGGCACCACGCAATCCTCCACAGCAAAGCTCCCTACACACTCATAAGGCAGCCCTGCCTGGCCGGTCCTTACCATGTCAGCTACCGCCGTTTTCGAGCGTCGGAACAAACAGATCCAGGATGCCATCGATGGTCAGAATCTCAAGCAGGCCCTGCAACTCTGTGAGAAGCGGCTCAAGAGGGGCGAGGATTCACATTTCCTGAGGGTTAGTTCGGAGTTGGCAGAATTGAAATATTTTAAAAAATCAGACGTTCATCTGTCATTAATGTCCTCTGGATGTATATAGGCATGGAAAGCACATATCCTCTTCAGCCATGCTGACGACGTCCATCGCCAACGCGGCATTTCCGAGACGCTCAAGCTATGCCACATTGAACCACCAGTTTCCGACATAGATGCATTGAATATGCTATATACTACTCTAAAGAGCATTGATGAGCATGCGGAATCTGCGCTCGAGATATGGCAGAAAGCGGCAAAGGCCAGACCCCAAGCACTCGATATCCAATTGAGATGGTTCACACTGGCGTCAGAAGTAGGCGACTGGAAAGCTGCACAGAAGGTCCGGAGATGCAAAATCCCTTAATTCATTTTAGTATTGGATTTATACACTGGGATGCGTCCCTTTTACAGTCGATTTCGAAGGCAACTGCTGACATTTGCCGTCCCTAGGCAGCTATGAGCCTTCAAAATAACTTTCCGAAGGACCGCAAGTTCTATTTCTGGGCCATTTTCATGTGCTACCTAATCAGCATAGACCCAGCGAATTCGGAAACAGATCGTAAACTCTTCGGCACACTTGCCTACCGCATGATATCGAAAGCTGCGGCCAACGTACCTAGTGACCCGGTATGGATAACTACTTACCGTCATGTCCTTCGCTCTCTCAATAGACCCTCGAAGCTCATTAAAAATTTTCCCCTAATGTATAGAAAGAGTTACTGAGCCCGCCTAGAGCAATACAAACCTCCGAAGAGCTCTTCCTATTGATCAAGATCTTCAACACACAAGAGAGCTACGAGGAAATTGTGCATTTACTCAATAGCAAGAATTTGGGCGTCGAATCACGCATTGCTCAGAACGATTGGTCATTTGTCAGCGCGAAAATCGCAAGTCTTGAGAATGCTGGGCTATGGGATGAAGCGTTGTCGTTTACACGGGAGTTACTTAGTCTTCCAAACGACCTAGCAAATGGTTCGACAACTGCGGCTGCTCAAGAAAAGGATGATTGGCTAGTTTGGAGCCTTCTCCTTAAGTCAACTGAGAAGTCGGAGAAAAAGGAGTATGTAATGACGTTGAATGAGGTTTTGTTGTCTACTGCAGGCTGATAACCTTTTTCTCTTCCATTTTTTCAGGACAGCACGAGAAACCCAGATTTTCATTGAGGATTACATCGAGAGGCGACCAAAGTCACGGAATGCTCAGTTGGCCGGTCTTGACTTGGTTGAGCAACGAATTGCGACCCAGGAGTTTTCTATGGGAGACCTTCTCTCAGCATGCAAAAAATATTTTGACCGCAATAGTAACAAACTCTATTGTTTCCATGACTTGCGCAAATATTTAATTAAACTGGACCTCTCGATGCAGGACGAATTTCAAGCTCATGTTTCCCAAGCTGTTGTCGCAGGACAAGATGAGGATGATAAGAAACAGGTTAGGAAAAATGTATACCCGCCTTGGTTTAAAGATGTTGACCCATTTATATAGGTTACCGACCCTTTCAAGGGCGTTGCAGCTATTAATGCACTCAAATTTGAATACTGTTTCAAGCTGTCATTCGGTGGTGACAAGGTATCAGTACAAAGGGCGGAAGATTTTGTCTCTCGTTGCCTCCGCATTTACCGGAGCACTGAAAGACCTAACGAAACCTCTCCATCTACTATAGAGAGCCAACCCAGCGATGACCTGTGTATTTTAGCTGTTATGGGACTAATTCGGCTTCACGAACCAGCCTTTGGGACCAATCCCAATGCCCCCCCCCCTGGCGTACTGACCCAAGCTGCCGGGCTCATCGAGAACCTGCTTCTTAAGTCACCCCATAATTATGAGGCTCTTCTGCTCCTAGTTCGAATCTACCTCCTCCTTGGTGCAGGATCATTAGCTCTGAAGACTTTTTATAAATTATCCGTCAAGCAAATGCAATACGAAACAGTCGCACATAACCTCTTTACTCGCCTGGCCTCAACACACCCCAACGCTCCTCCCCCATATGAAGGGTTGGAGAAAAAGGACCACGATCCACAGGCTACCATGAGACAGGCTTTGATATTTTATCGAAACTCAGAGACTGCGACGACTCTTTCACGAAACATTGGCCTGGAGCATGGAAGCTACCTCAATGTAGCTGGAAGTATAAAGTTGCAGAATGACCTGAAGAACAGTATCTGTCGAAGGATGTGGGCGTTGGAAACGCGGAGGATTCAGCGGCTGGTTGGCGGTGACCCAGTGGGACAATATGATCATATTGGTATGTCAATATTTCGTACACTATCTCACATTGTTTCTCCTTAACTAACACGCGATATTTTACTCTCAGTCTCCAATACAGACCCAATCGTTGACAACCGAAACTTCGATGGCTTCATGAACTGCGAACTCCCGGGCAAACTTAGCTTTGAGGAGCGTGTTCGTCTCGGTCCCAGGCCAGGCGTAAGTGGTTCAATCCACATTCCTGATTTGAGGTGATGATAGTAGATAGCTAATAAATAGTAGTCTCATACCGTCAAAGTCATGACTATCACCGACACACTATTCAGTTTCCTCAACAGCAACCTGTCAATGAAAAAGACATCATCTGCCCCACCATCATCTCCGTCATCCAAAATCGACTTATCCCACTATCTCGACCTCGACTTTGGCCTCGACTTCCCCCTTCCATTAACCGAATTAACGCCCGCCGAAATCGAAAATGCAAACATCCATCTCACCCTGCTGAAAGTCCTCGCAACACTTACCACAGCCACGACCTCTAAACAATCTTTCACACCCGGAACCTCGATAACCACGCATTTCACGACTCTCGAAGACTTCCTAACCCAAAAGTCCACAACCCTAACCCCATCAACCGCGATCCTCCCCACCTCCATCACACTCTCCCTAACCTCCAGCGCCCCTTCCTGGCTCTATTTACACAACACCATCTCCCTCCTCGAAACCTTAAAAGCTATCACTCTCTTCATCGCCTACATCTCGACATCAAAGGCAAAACTTCCTACCGAATTGGCGAAACTCGTTCCCACAACAGAGAAACTCGAATCCCTTACAAATCTTGTCAGACAAATCGTGGAAATTATTCGGAATAACACATGCTTTTTTAAGATGCAGATTGCCGAGTCAGGGATGTTGGGGGAGTTAGTAGAATGGGTTACAGGTGGACATGATTGTGAGAAGACGTTTAGTTTGGGTGGTGCTGGCGTGGAAGAGGTTAATGGTGGCCAGGGTGGAAAGGAGGTTGGAGTTGTTAGGAGGGAAATTGAGGAGTTAATGGATACGGCATCTCTGGAGTTGTTTTGTGGGTCGTTGATGGAGAGTTGGGATGATGCTCTTGATGGGGTTTTAGTTGTGTGCGGGCATTTAAGTTAATCATGATGCATCTTCATCTAAAGGGGAATTTTGAACTCTATTAAATGAAATAAATAAATAAAAGGAAATAAAAGGAAATTATGCTTCTTTCATTTTGCTCTATTCTTGGTATTTGGATTGTACTGAGATGTGATTTGTATTTGATTTGTGTGATGATTTGTAGGGATCAGATATATGCCTAATTAACATGATTGGGGAAATGGAATTGGATGGAGTTTAAAATATTCACTTAAACTAGCTGATGGGAATGAGGAGAGGTATAAATCCACATCTGACTTTGATTGAGAGAAGCATGAGAATACACAACCCCATTCTCCCAGCGCATATCCGACAAACGTACATTATTTAATTAAACATTACAAGGTACTACGGTTAGGTATACGCCATATACCAAGGGGCAAAACGGAGGTCCTCGCTCTAACCTATCCCAATGATTGATTTGACGTCGAATTTTTTCTCAGATAAAGTTTACCAGAGAACAAATCAAGAATAAATAAAAGAGACGCAAAAATCATGACCAAGACTCCCATTTATCAAAATATAAAAGCTCATAAAAAGGCACGCAGGTTCGTAGGCTCTACCCTCCACCTACGCCGTCATCTATTTTTGCTCTGTTCCCCATCCCATCCACATCGGACACAAAGTTCTAACCCATTAGTCTTGTCGTCCCTTTAGCAATCGTTTTGTGACTTTGTCCTTCTCTATGATGTAAACATGCGCTCCCCATCCTGAAAGAGCATCTCTATCAACCGCGTTCAATAGGGCTTGCGAGATGGTCTCAAAGAGGTCCTCCGGTCCCTGTTCCGGCTGGTTAGTGACGAACACACTCTGCAATATATATACATAGAGTTACACAAGCCCTTTCAGAAGCGAAACGGATTAAACATACAAGATCCGGCTCCCACAATCCCTCGCAAGTACCAAATAGTTGTTCACTTGCAGTACCGCTAACAATAAAGTCTTTCGCAAAATCAATGCACCCGATACTATCAAAACCGCATATAAACGGCTCCCCAGTTGTATTATTTATGCCCGCCAACACAGGACTGACAAAGTAAGGCCCAAAACGTTTCTCGTACAAACTCGAGCTGACGAGGTTAGCCAGTGTCTGGGGGGAGATCTGTCGTTCCTCGCGCAGGCGGTACATGTTGACTTTGAAGCGGAGGACGTCTGAGACGGTGGAGACATCCGTAGCCAGGCCCGTTAGGCCTAGATACGTCGAGGGGGCGTAGTTGAAGATCTTGGGGAAGTTGTTGGAGACAGTGAGGGCTTGGAGACCTAATCGCAAGTCGCAGGCTATGGCGACGCAGTCTTTGCCGATCATGGCCACGCAGGCACCGCCATCTGTTGATTCGGGAAGAGGGAAGGGTTAGAGGGATGCCAGCCGGATCATTGGGAGTATTGGGAGGGTAAACAAGGACATACTTATGTCGAAAACAGAGCTCTGTTGGCAGCGGAGTTAACGAGAAGCTGTCTGTTATTGTATGTGGTCTGGAGCAGCTTACCATTAGTGCAGGAGTCAAAAAATCAGTTTCTAAATAACACACTGGGTATCTGGGACGTCTATAACAGCACAGATGTCGGCAACCTGTTGTGGGGAAGAATTAAACAGGGTTGGCGGTGGTGGTGGATGTGATATTGGGTATGAGTGGTAGAGGAGTTAACGTATGGGTAAGAAGCTGTTCTCTCTCTCCAGGTTGCTGGACAAACGCGTTGAGCTCGGACCACCCGATGTGGTAAGCAATGCGTTTGTTGCGTCTGCCTGCGCCTGTTATCAACGGTTAACTATATCCACCCACCATCACATCTGCGGAGCACTCCATAAAACGATTATATATAAAGGTCGGACAGGAGGATACATAAATACTTGCACTGTCTAGCTGACTGTATATACGTTGCTGTGACTATTCTTCTATATGGAACGCTTCTAGCAGCATATCTAGTAATGCTCATGGCATTCTGAGGTTCTGGGACCTCCACATAACTCCAGAGCTGGGTTGCCCCGCCATCTTTTCGGCCTACCCATCCCCTCTATCACCATGGCTTCACACGTTGTGGTAATAGATTCCACTGCTCGGAGGGCCACCGTCAAGGTTACTCCCACAAAACATCTCACTGAGGTCCTTTCAGAAGCATGCTCTAAGCTTGGGCTCGACGCCCGCCAGTACGGACTCAAGTAGGTGTTGCCCGTGGCGCTTTATATACTTTCCACAGATTACTAACTATACCATTCCGAAGACACCAGAAAAAGCACGTAGATCTTTCACTATCCATACGGCTATCGGGACTGAGCTCCGGCGCCAAGCTTGAACTTGTACAGCTCTCACGCTCTCCCTCAGTCGTCTCCGTGGCTTTACAGCTTCCTGAATCCGAGGCCCAGGGTGCTCCAAATGGTCGTTTAACCGATAAATTCCCAAGTAATACTACGCTATGGCATATTATGCGGAAATTCGAGTCTGGTGTGGCGGGAGACGGGATAGCAAGAAACCTGACTGCCAGAGGAGTGCCATCAACCAATAATGGCGCGGGAAGGCTGTTCTATCAATCTCCTGTTATCCAAGTTGTGGGAAGGGAATTGTCATCATTTAGGGATCTCCAGAAAACCCTTGGGCAATTGGGATTTAGTAGTGGAAGCGCACTACTTAGATTAAACTTCCGGACGACTGATCAGCCCCTTGAAGAAGCAATGGTGGAGATTGAGGGGTATTTCAAATCTATCGATGAAGAGGTAAAAGGAGGAGCTGTTGCTGCTAAGAGCTCTAATCCTGAGACCCCAGTTTCGTCAGCCTCAGAAGAGCCAACTGAATCTATGCCCATATCAACCCCGTCCAATAATGCAAACAGTACTCCTGGGCAAACATCCACACCAGAAGAGCAACTTATTCCAGAAACCCCTGTCCAACCTTCTTCACCAACGACGATCGTCTCATCCAGACCTACCACTGTTTATGCACCACCCATAAATACAGTTCCCCAATCAGCTCAAACCCCTTTCAATGAACATGACTACGTACCAACAATAGACCTAGCCAAAGCCCACCAACACCATCTCAACCGCACCACCCGCCCCAACCGCCTAGCCACTGACGCCGAACTGGCCGCCCTAGCATCCGCCCAAGAAGCCAAGTTGTCCAGAATTGCTGACATCGAAGTGAAAATCCGCTTTCCAGATCAAAGCCAGGTCGTCTCCAAGTTCACCAGAGAAGACACAGCACAGAGCCTATACGCCTTCATCCGAAGCTGTCTGGACAACCCTCTGGCTGGCGAGAAATTCACCCTGTCATTCTTCGCTACCAGCACCGGCACTGGATCTGGATCTGTCTCTGGCACGCAGCAGCACGCGCCAAACATGAACGTGACGAAGCATCAGACTGTAATCCCTGACGTTGCTGAGAAGCGACTCATCCGTGATCTACGCATGGATGGTCGTGTGCTGGTTAATTTCTCTTGGACAAGTGATGCATCTCTGAATGCTAGGAGGGCGTCGACGCAGATTCTTCGACCAGAACTTAGGCAGGCTGCTAGCCAGATCAAGGTTGAAGAGCTTGCTGCTGTCGCTGTTGATGAGGGGAAGGGGGATAAGTCGTCATTGCGCAGGCTGGGTGATGGTGGGGATGGTGATGGCCATCAGGGACGGTCTGAGGGGAAGAAGGGGGGTGGTGTACCGAAGTGGTTGAAGTTGCCGGGGAAGAAGTAGAGATGGGTTGTGTTTTTGGCTTTGGCTTGATGAGCGGTTCTTGCTAAGAGTTAAATGGGATACGATTATTATGAAATGGAACCATCTAGTTACTTAACCTGAGGTAGTTCTGAATGAATGTTTTAGTTTTGGTATATGGTAATAATTTGGGGTGGGTGTTGGTACGTGCTCTCCATTTACAACTGCATTCTGACCTAGGACTATTTGAAGCTGTTAAATGCAGATTAATCTGGGCCGTTTCGTAGTTAGGAAGCGCCAGAAGTCCGAAGGGAGAAATGGGTAGTAGTGTAGATATAATTTCTATCGTCCCGTGCCAACTATCCTTCAATTTCCAGCTGCTTATTTATCCCTTTTAAATTGGCAGTCAGGAGTATGGACCCGTGAACCCCATATGAATCATCCATCCTAAACCTCGCCTTCTTCTTTGTGGGATAGACAGGGGAGATAAACAGTAATGATGGGGAAATCAACCCAAGCACCGAGTGACAGAAGGATGAATATGTATGGTATTTTTTTGTAAAGATTTAAATCATTTCCGTTAAATAAACAAGGAAAAAAAGATGCTTTGATGGCAACCATGACACAAAACCCTCAATTCAAAGCAAGCAACAACGTTAACAAGTCCCCTCTCTCCCCAAACGACAAGAGGTATATTTAGTGGCCGGCTCTCTTGGCCTCGGCGATAACTTCTTGCATCTCGTCCACCTTTCTCTTGGCGCGACCGAAGGTCCCGAGCTATATGACGGAGAAAGATATCAGTTAGCAAACTGAGCCATTTCATGGAATGTGCACGCCCGTGTATGTATTTTCCTGCCGTCAATCATGTTCCTATTCTCCCTTGCTTGTTTCAACCCTGCCTATTTTCCTTGTGGATTGTTCTATCGTTTCGTTACGGCTCCACGTTCGAATATGCAAAATAATGCCCCTTCAAGACTAGAGTCTAGTAGTAGAGTCACAAAATTCGGAAGATAAATCTAACGACGCGGTTGGTCGGATTTCGATCGTATTATCCACGAAGATCAAGCGGAGCCTTCGCGTTCCTCTTTCCGAATAATCCTCCCCTCGTCCATTTCATCAATCCACAAACCGATCCAACTCTTGAACCCACAAGGCAATCACCAATTAAACAAGGAAAATAGATGTATATAAAACCACTCACCCGCTTCTTCGCGAGCTTCCGTGCTCGCTTGTCTTGGGCGTTTCTCAGCAGTTCAACGACACGGCGCTCATATGGGGCAAGACCGGCGACTTCCTTGATGATATCACGGACGAACTTAGTGCGGCGGGAAAGATGGCCCTTTGTCCGTGAGATTCGGGGCTTGGTAGTGTTGGCAGTGGTTTTCTAAGCAGACAGCAAAAAATGGATATTAGTTCCTCATATTCATGATACCATGCTATGTCGTCGATTTGCTGTTCGCATTGTTTTGACCATGGATATCGCAGAAATCTTGAAAATTGAATGGAAATTAAAATTGACAGAATTTTAATAGTTTAAAAGAGACTGTAATTTCCATTCGAGACCGGTCCAGCAACATTCAAGCAACATGAGACTGCCAACGAGGAGGAAACAAGCAAAACTGGCAGATTTTGAACGTACATGGCCTTTGTTCAAGCCGAGGATGATACCGGAGCGTTCCTTCGCCATCTCGATCGTTGACGACGGGGTGTTGGTGATGGGTGGTGCGGAAGACTGTCGTCGTCGATGTCGTTGAAATGTCAAGTCCCGGCCATTGAAAGTTTCGGTTGGATGAGGCTCAAGTGCGTTAGCGAGAAACGAGGGTTTAGGGTTTAGGGCTTTAGCCCTTCCATTGCCTAAAAGGGCAAGGTACCTGCCAGCAACCCCAGACTGTATCTTCCCTTCCATCCTTCAGTGCGCTGCTACACATCTATCTACCTTCTGTATGATCCTACGGGTTCTGCCACTTATCAGAGTGCCATTGTCAGATGTCGAGGCGGGACTTTTCCTCGGTCTGCTTCTAGACTACAACATGCCGTCTGGATGTTGGGATGTTGAAAATACAAGCTAGATTTGGCTAGAGATGAACCTCTGAAACTTCTGCTCCCATCCTCAATTCAAATGGATTTTTCGAATGTCAACTCCCATAATATTTTATTCGCAACTCTACGCCTGCTTGCATATCCCAATGCATATCTTGACTTTCGAATGCGGTAAAAGTTTACACAAACTACAGAAAAATGTTGGAAAGGGCTCCAACCAAATATCTTTGATAATTCATAGAATTTCAGTGGTTCTGTTGATTTTATTACTACTATTGCCCGTTTACTTGTTCTGTCTTACTTTACCTTGTTTCATGATGATCAGGAACAGCCTCAGTCTTTATTTGTTGACCCATGTCAGACTCAGATTGTTGCCGGTATTTTGTTCAGAGAATATCTACTGGAGAACTTGTGTGGAATTTTTCTCGGTTTGGAATCAAATGATCAAACGATCAGTTCTACAATGCTTGTAGCTTTTGAGATCTAATCTATTTGATATTATGTACTTCTGGCCATCCTCTGAGCTGTTCCCCGATTTTATTTTCGATGGAGCAATTAAATTTCTTGCTTAAAAAAATCCAGCTAGATGTCAGAACCGTGATTACCACCCGCGATCTACGTTGATTCCCGATTCGATATGAAATGACATGGAGCAGAGACCCATACGACGGAGTGGGGGTAGGTCCAGCATGAACATGGGGCAATTGAAGACTCATGGTATCAAATAGAGTCTTTCCTGGAACTTCTAGTGCAGGCGAGATTGAAATCCTTTGATTTGACTAACAGAGCGTTGGGTATTGTATATGCTTCTAGAACTTGGTGAAAATGGTAACAAGACAACATGCTTAAACGACTCTATTCCAAGAAACTGAAAACCCCAATGAGGAACTAGAACGATACCATGAAGGCGGGGAATCGGTTTTGGAAGAACGACTACGACAGGAGGACGACGTAATTGCAATTGCGATGCTGAAGGTGTTACATGAGCTCAGACAGCATATGAAGCTTGTACAAGACGTGTAGAATTAGCTGAGCTGCAGTCAAAGAAGTGAGCTCCATAGAGATATAGTAATCATACAATTCAGGATTGCCCACTGAAGGAAGGGCATAAACATACTAATATACATGTATATTCCTAGTATTGTTATTTAATTATTTTGTTCAGGTCTTGAAATTCAGTGTCCCCATAGGGGTGAATCGACCATGTTAACTAACTAGTTAACTACTCATAGTCACTGCTCCGTGACTGCAACCCTCTCTCTGTGGGGCCGGCTGCTCCCTTAAAGAGTCCATCCCAACAGCTGGCTTATTACCTCTCCAAAATTTCTGGTTACTCCCACGATCCGGTGCGTTTGTGGACACTTTCGCCGATGCTTTCTTCGTTCTGGGAATGAAAGCTATGGTCCCAGATGCGGAAGAGCTCTGTTACTTGCTCAACGCTTTTGGCAATGAAAGGCTAGACAAAATATGCATGCATAAATCAATCAGTATTGCAATCCAGAGGGGTTTTGGAGGATATGTTCTCATTTTTATCAGTTCGAGAAAGTGAGGTTTTGCTTTTTCTTCAGGACCCTTCATGAATTGATGGATGACGGTTATGACCCACAGGGAAACTGAACTGGTCCGCACATTGGAAAGGGACCAGACCCTATTTAATTTTATTTGAATTTTTCTCCCCCTTTCTCTCGTCATCCGTGACGATCGCGACCCAAGCCACAAGCTAATGAGGGTCTGGCACTCTCTGCCCAAAGCTCATCCGTCCTAGCTGCTGTAGCCAATAGAAAAATTCTGGTTGACCCAAAACTGTTGCTAAAGGGCACTTGCGGAGGGCAAAGCCCGTCAGGGAGAGCCAATAAGAGCAACGCCTTGCGTATATGCGGGGAATGAAAAGGATATTGCCCGGGCCTCAGATGGGGGTTACTTTGCTTCGGGATGTCTTCGCCGATAAAAAGTGATAAGGGATCATCCCCTCCATTCTCGAACAGCAGTTAACTAATTATATTGTATTAGTCAAATGTCATAACTATCTGTGGTCGTGCCATATGGCGGCGGAGCCTTGGGATGAAAAGATATAATAATAGATCCAATCTTGGGCTGCGCAGTACGCGTAAGGTTTCCCAGAACCTGATGTCGTTGACAGCCGGAGCCAGCCGGACAGTAATGCCCGGCCTAGATTTCGAGAGACCGCACTTGTGATTTCTTAGCACTGTTTGGTGAGCATGCCGGGTGGAAAGACGATCCTCCTTGCTTCTCGCCGCGCGCAGGGAGATGCATAATCCTTGAAACAGGCCGTGGATTGCAGCAAACTACCAGCTGGCCAGAGCCTCTCTTTTTTTTGTTCTGTCCCTTTTCCACTGCTGCTCATCCCAATAGCAGTCGTGATTAACTATTAACTGCAACTAGGTACTGTGAAGGTGAGCCGCTTGCTATTGGTGGATGATCCCCTTTTCCCTTCAACATGCATGCCACACTCTCTGGGCCTTCCGCTTCCCCATACAACTAACAATACTAAGACACCAGCACCTTTGGTACATATCCCCCATCATGCTTATTTCCCTGTTTCCCTGTGCTTATGATCATTCTTCCTGTAAATTCTATACCGTCTCGGGTTTTCGGCGAAAAAAGAAAAAAGAAAAAAAGAAAAAAGGAAAATAAAAGAATAGAAAGAAAAGAAAGAAAAGAAAAGAAAAAGAAAAAAAGGAGCTGGCCCTTCAAACAGCTATTTCCAGAGTTCTCTGGCGAGAGAATTGTCCCCCTCACCTATCCATCCCGTAGTAATATTATAATCGTCTAACTTTGCAATGTTCTCAAGAGGAAATCGGTAGTTCGGCTATATCCAGAGCCAGCCATCATCTAGAAGCCTTACACCACCACGACACAATTATCGCAGCTACCTGATATTCCTGGATTGATAGTGGTCTACATCCGGATGGACCTCTCCCTGCGCCGACGAGCATGCTGAGGGCATTTTGCAGTTGCTCAGGTATGCTGCCCTCGGGTCTGGGAATATCGTGTCATTTTGAGCTCTCGACATCTCAAAAACAACACCCGGCCAAGTCTTCGTCCGTCCTACAAGAACACGATTGCTGCCAGGTTTGGGTGAACGTGCAAAGTCCGTAGGACCATGTCGGCTACTTTTGGGGCTGGATGCTCCAACCATATTATGGCTTCGGCCTTATCATTTCTCAATCGCCAGACCCTTTGTGTTCCAGGGCTATACCCCGGGTTAATAGCTTCCGCCGGAGCACCAGAATTTATGACTGGCATGACGAGACACTATGAAGTTGGTCAGAGTAATGCGATTGAGCGTTTGTTGAAATTGAAGGAAGAGTTGAGAGATTCCGAGACTGAAGCCTTTTGGAAATGTTTGATGGAGGGAATAGCGGGCATTTGCAATGCCCAATGCTCGTTCGTAGCCCAGTCAAATCCTGAGCATGCTCAGACTCAGAGTGGCTACGATACGGTGATGTCAACCTCAGAAACCCCCGAGTTCCCCTATTTAGGTGTCTGTCTGTATTACAACGACGGCCAATCAATTACAGCCATGCACAGAAACTACAAATATTTTTCTCGAGCTATACCCTGCGACTTCATGAAGCATGATAAAGTCTATCTCATTCCGGAAAATTTGGCTTTGCACATGGAAAGTGACCCAAATATGTTTCCATTCCCTATGGATGCCTACTTAGCGGTACCATTATTCTCCGACGGAAAATGCTTCGCTCATTTTGGGTTGATGTGGACGGTTGACGGTCGTGAGAAATGCGATGTATCCTGGGCATATCTTGAGATGATCCTACATTCCATGGAAGATTTAGTACAGCACCGCCTCCTAAACGAGCAGAGCTATAAGAAAGCAGCGTCTGCTCAGGTAAAGGATGAACAGCATCGACGAGGGAGAGGGAGTAGAGCTTCCGCCTATCATTCTGCTGCCGGTGCACACTCTGGCATACACTATTTCAAACCATATGCGCGGAGCTTATCTCACGAGCTGAGGACACCAATGCAAGGTGTGGTTGGAATGCTGGATGTCATGCATGCCAACGTGCAGGAATCAATGGAGAAACATTACGACCCACTTCTAAACCCAGTATTTCAGGAGCTCAAAGACAACATTGAGGCCATTCAAGGTTAGTTTCAAATTTTTAGATTTTGCTGGTGCCATTCCGGCCTGGATTTTGGTTACTAATAATGCTTGGGAACCTACAGATAGCGTTCGGAGAGCAGTGGAGGCCGCAGATAATATCGTGCACGCTTATGATCTGAATATGCAAGTACCTGAAACTCCCGAAAATAGTTCCGAGAAGGATTACTCTCCCGACCCCTTTCGGTCTTTCAGTGGGGCATACGATTCTCGCCCAAATATTCTCATTGAAGGGAGCAATATTACCGTAAATCCTTACAAACGGAGAAGGAGCAGTCCTGTTAATTGGAATTATACCACCCCATTTACATCTAAATCATCAGAACTGCCTTCTCTAGAGCTACCTCGACGAGAGCTCTCACCCCGAAGTGCAGGTGTCAAGACTGTGGTTGAAGAGAGTGGCAAGATTGTTCAAGCTGACCCACGGGTTGAGGAAGACAGTGAAGTCAAAGAAGCTTTGATAAATGCACGGCGTCCTTCGATGTCCGGACGGTTCCCATCCTCCAGCGTATCTCTTAGGCAGAGGGTTTTCCCTCCAATGACACTACAATGCACCAGAATCCGTGAGATTCTCCAGCTCTTAATTAACGAATCGCTTCACGTCGGTGGCCGCCCGGATTCTGCTTTAGTTGAACCAACTATGTTCGGTCAAAATATTGAGATTAAATCAAAGTCCCCGGATGGGCGAGCTTCAACGAAAATCATCCAATGGTCTGTCGACCCGTCTGTGCCGGACGTTTTATACGTTGATGAAAGGGACTTTACCAAGCTAGTGTCTTGCGTCTTCATTAATGCTCTCAAGTTTACAGAATCTGGGAAAATCACACTTTTTACGAAGTTGAACACTTCGCAGAGGTGTGTTTTGATCAAAATCAGTGACACTGGGACCGGTATTCCTGAGGCTTTCCTTCCAAACCTTTTCCAGCCGTTTGCTCGTGAGGACGACTCTACAACGAGGAGCAGGGAAGGCCTAGGGCTTGGCTTGTTGGTTGCAAAGGGCCTGTGCAGAAAGCTTGGTGGTGATTTGAGATGTCTTCGTTCATCTACAAGGGAACCGGACCGTGGATCTGAATTTGAAATCCGGCTACCCATAAACCCAAACGACTGTCTCAGTCGACCAGGGACACCGCACGCCGAGTCTTCACCTCCTCGACGGAATTCCAATATATCCCCAGGCATCAACACTCCAACGGAAAAATCGAAAACGGTCAGAAATAGCCCAGAAACTCCTCCTTTGAATATCTCCTCAAACCGTCCATTCCCATCAACAGCGAACAGGGGCGCTACGAAAGGGGGTTGGCTGGATAGCCCCAGTCGTCTACCAATGTCTTCCAGGAACTCTAGTCTTCTCTCCTGGAACAGCTTTGACCGACAGCTGGCCGACAAACAACCCCTCACCTTCCTCGTGGCAGAAGATAACAAAATAAATCGACGAATTCTCGTCAACATGCTCTCTAAATTAGGATACAATGATGTCTACGAGGCGTTTGATGGTAGAGAAGCAGTTCGCATTATGGGCGATATCCTATTGAATGGCATCCCCTCCGGTCCAACACAGCCTCAAAGCCCCTCCTGTCGAAGTTTCTCTGAAAGGGGCACAGATACCACGACCTCTCCCATAGAAAATTGCGAAATGTCTTTGCTTCATGAACCCAACAATCAAATTCCCACAAGATCAAATTTCGTCGATGTCATCCTCATGGATCTCTGGATGCCAGGCATGGATGGCTACCAAGCAACCGAGAAAATACTAGATATGGTCGAAAACTATCGCATTCGACTAAAGAAGCAGAAGCCGAACATCCTTCTTCCACCCATCCCAACTGTTTTGGCAGTAAGCGCTGACGTGACGGACGAAGCATTGAGCAGGGCTACGATGGTGGGCATGGAAGGTTACATGACGAAACCGTATAAATTATCCGATTTGGAGAGGCTGATTGTGGAGTTTTGCGGTCATCGCGAGTCGTGTGAGAAATGAAATGAATTTCCTTTTTCTCTTTCTTTCTTTTTTTCTTTCTCTCTTCCTTTTTTTTATTTTTTAATTTTTATTTTTTAATTTTCTTTTTCTTTTTCCTTCTTTTCTTTTTTTTTTGGCTTCTTATTACTTGATACCTGGTCATCTCTCGTTTGAAAATATTATTGGGTTGGTTTTTGGGGAATTTTCCCGCCATATACTGGGAGGCGTTGTGAGAAGTACCTTTTGGCAATCATGTTATTTTGTTAAAAATGATTTCTTTATTTCATTATTTTCCTTTTTAGTCTGTTTGTTTTAGAAAGCCCAAGAGAGGAAGTCCCACATTAATTTTTATGAGTACAAGACATTAAGAGGTCCACGGTGGGAGAACTGAAATACATATAGATTAGGGAAACCATATCGAAAACGAGGAATGGTATACCATTGAACGATCCATGGATCTCACTGCAGCTAGAGGATGTTAATCCATCCCTTTACTGATCGCTTTGCTTTGCATCCTTCTCGAACTCTTGCGCGAGTTGTCTCCGACCTTCATTACCATCCTGAAGAACTCTGGCTAGAGGCGGTATCCCAATGCACCGCTTCATTAGTTTATCTTTAATTTGTCTTAAATCTTTGCAACATTCTTCTTTGAGATCATCACTTTCACCTGGATGCTTCATCTACCTCCCACATTCAGATTTGTGTGTTTCTTGTTTTTATTTTTATTTTCAGTTACAGTGGCGGATGTCGTTTAGCCATCTGTCAGGATAATTGCAGTGTTGGGTATTCCTCACTTCCGATTCCTACGGTACTGGTGCTCATATAATATAACACCAAATGTGTGTATAATATTTCTCTTCTTTGCTCGGACCCATTTTTGTGGATTTAGAATTATTTTTTATCTGTATTTGGATATTGAGAGCTGGTTGTGCTACTTGCAAATGCTCTTTTTTTTAACCTTGTCGATACATTGCAGATAAAATAACCAACGGGCTTTGGGCTATTCTAATGAAACATCACTAATTAACGAAATAGTCATTTGTTAAGATGGTTTGCTCTTATTATCAAATAACCAACTCCCGCTTCAACAATCGTAAATTCATTGTTCCAAACCTAGTGACCTCTACTCATATCTCCGTAAGAGGTTCCCCTCACCTGAATCAACCAATTGATCTCAAAATATTGTTGGTGTTTTCTCTCATGCATCCAATCAACAGCGCCTGCTCAATAATTGGGAAAGAAGAGGAGATTCATCAAGACGGCTGATTGTTTCTGTCCTCTGCTTTTCCAAAACTCGTTTCTGTTGCGTCACATCTGCGGCAGAGATCATTCAGCTCTTGAATTGAACTTGCAGGTTTATAACTTATGTTCAAATAACTAACCCGCTCAATTATTTACGTCAAATTACGATTGGGGATTTGCATGAATCTAAAATTCCCACAGGCTGAACTCAGAATTGCAACAACGTCCATCGCATCAAGTCTGCACACACCTCCAACATGAAACTGCAATACCTAGTCGCTCTGCTATTTGTGCAGGCTGTCCCGCCCGTAACGGCCGGCTATATACACCAGTATGCCCTTGCAGGCAGCGCGATTAGACAACCCATAGACCAGAAGACTCAAAGGGAAGACCTGAACAAGCTAGTTTCAGACTCCCCATTACTCTCTCTGCATCGCACGATCTGCGAAATCGAATCAGTCTCCAACCATGAAGGTGCTGTTGGTGAAATGCTGATCAAATATCTGAGGGATCATGATTTCACCGTTGAGAAACAGATCGTCCCTGCTGATAGGGGAACTAACAGCACCGCTGAACGTTTCAACATCTGGGCATACCCGAAAGGTTTTCCGCGACCCAAGATCATCTTGACTAGCCATATCGACACAGTGCCCCCACACATTAAATACAGCCTTCACGCACCGGATGGTGACTTCGACCGCGCAAAAGTCCGCATCATGGGCCGCGGCACCGTGGATGCAAAGGCCAGTGTTGCCGCGCAGATCATCGCGGCTCTTAAGCACCTGAAATCCAACAAGGACATCCCCCTGGGTCTCTTGTTTGTCGTCAGTGAAGAAGTTGGCGGGAGTGGCATGGTCCATTTCTCAAACTCCGAGCTCAACACCAACCCGCCCTTCTTCCACACGCTCATTTTTGGCGAACCGACAGATCTCACGCTGGTCGATGGCCACAAGGGCAATCTGCGTGTTACCATCCATGCAAAGGGCGTTGCGGCGCATTCTGGCTATCCCTGGCTCGGCCACAGCGCTATCTCAGAAATCCTCCCCATTCTCGCCCGCATGGATGAATTAGGTGATATCCCCGTGGAAACCGGGGGACTGCCCTCTAGCGAGAAATACGGCCGTACAACGGTGAATATCGGCACCATAAAAGGAGGCGCAGCAGACAACGTCGTGCCAGAAACTGCATCGGCTAGCATTTCTGTGCGCCTTGCAGCTGGCACTCCGGAGGAGGCAGAAGAAGTTATCAGGAGGGCGGTCAACGATGTCTCGGGTGGAAGCACAAATATCACCGTCAACTTCCCCGATAGCATGCCATACCCTCCTATCGACTTGGACGTTGATGTCGAAGGATTTGATATCTCAACGGTGAATTACGGGACGGATATCCCAAAGTTGGAGATTCATGATGAGGAGTTGGAGGTGAAGGTTAAGCGCTATTTGTATGGACCGGGAACAATTTTTGTGGCTCATGGCGCTGAAGAAGGGATCACTGTGGGTGATTTGGAGAAGGCAGTTGAGGGGTATTCTAAGCTGATTGACGCGGCTGTCGAGAGGGATTGGCCCAGGGAGGTAGTCGTGAACTAATACATTTATTGGTGGCTAACATATACTGAATGTGAGGATAGACCTTTTCTTTAGATTTAAAATACTCTCGCATTCCTGGAACTTCCCGCTGCTGTTAGTGGGGGACTACATTTGGGCAGAGATGGCGCTCTCTTGGTTTGCATTTCAAGAAGCATTATCCAGCTTTCCAGTTTTGTTTTCGGTTTTGGCATTGGTTGGCATGAATGAGCAGAATGGTGGACTTTTAAACTCGTACCTCGTGGTGTTGGCTGATAGTATATCATATATAGATCAAACCACAGAATGGAACTTCCTTCAATATCGCCAACGCCTCGGGCGAACATTCAAATAAATCTGAAAATTAACCAAGCAACACAAGGCATTCCTCTACAAATATGGTTAGGTTAGGAGGAAAAGGCTAGGGATGGTAAAGTTCCCTCGACATTATGGAACGGGGATCTATATAAGGGGAAGAAATATAAGAAGGGTAATGCCATTCAATACAGGGGGATGAAACTGAGAATGTTACAATAGGGAAACGGATGGGATGGGAGATACGGATTCAGAGAGCTGTTGGAAAGATAGACATCAGATCTTCTGACACCTATATAATGTATGCTTAGCGGGTGGGTATTCAGCCAATTTAAAGAACGGGGATGAAAAGAAGGGGAAAATGCAGTCCAAAAGAACACCCGTCCCAGATTGAGAAAATAGTCACATAGATAAAATAACTAAGAAAAGACAAAAGGTAGAAACAGCACTATGAATACCAACTCCCTTTCCCATGTTGCCTCTTCCACCCAGTCTTAAACAGCCTCCCCATCCGAAACCTTGGGAACACATGCGCCTCCGTATTAAACACCATTCCATCCAACGGCAAAAAGTCCCGTTCCGAAAAGAGCAAATAAAAATACTTCAGCGTCTCCGCCAGCCAGAAACTCTCCATGTTATCCCGCTTCACGGCGGGTATTACATCAACATTTTCCAGCGACGTGAACGACCGAATATGTGGCGTGGCCTTCTTCGCGTCGACGCTCTTGTTATAGTAATCTTGGACAGGGGGCTCTTCATCCTCTACGATGATGGAGGTGTGGTTCATGAAGTTCTTGAACATCTGCCAACCCCAGTGCCGGTACGTATCGTCTTCGAGGATGCGGTACATGTAGAGAAGTGACTCGACTGTCTCGGGGCGTTGGAGATTGTGCTTGTCTTGCGGATGGATGATGATGTCCTTGCGCCACTCGCTGTTTTCGTTCGTGAGCGGGTAGAGAGGTTTGGAGATCATGTGTTGGTCCGCGGTGGAAGATTTAATGGCGGAGGATTTTGTTAAGTCTGCAAACACGCTTTTCGTCATGCGAGACGGACTATCAAGTTGGAAATAGGTGATTTCGGGCGCGAGGCCGGTTGCGGTTGCGAGGTAGGTGGCCCAGCAGGTTTTCATGAGTTCTTTGGCGAGGAGGATTTCTTCCTCCTGTTTGCGGCCCCAGTCTGGGGACATGCGGGCTTGGGAGATCGGGATGCCACCTGTTGCGCCTAGGGCGATGGTGCCTGGCATGAAGCAGACGAGGTGATCCATTTTAGGGACCAATTCATGATTCAGGCCGTTTGGTCGTTCGCCTAAGACGGTTAGAGATGCGTGTTTTGTGAATGTAATTAGATGTTTCCGTATGCCCATGAGCGCTTCATTCCACATGTCGAGGTATATTGGCTCTTCATGTGAGGTTTGTAAATACTGTTTGATGAGGTATTCTAAAAACCAATGTGAGAATGAGAGTGCCAAAAGATACGTGTAATCAAGGGGATGAATCCTACCATAATATGAATCCCCTCGACTTCCAAGCCGGATATTTTGGCCCATGAATTTCCCTGTATCCGGCTCAATGAAAATAGGAACAAGACCATCCTCCATCCCATTCTCTTCAATAACCTGCATAACCTTTTCCGCTTTCTCCCAATAATTTGGCTCCCCGGTAAGTTTCGCAAGATACTTGAATTCCAACTGCAAGGTGGATACCTCCGCAGTCGAGGACGCACCGTTATCCGTATGTGACTTCACCCCTACGCTCGTGTTAAGGTTGATACTTGCATATGGTATACCAGACGGCGATTCAAAAGCACCAAGCAGGCGATCAGCAAGATCTGTTGCTTTTTCAATGTACAAGTCCTCCCCAGGACTTCCTGCGTCATCATCCGCAATCGGGGCAAGATTGGGGTAGGTTGTGGACAGATAATGCGCGGAGAGAAGGCCTCCGAGCATTCGAATGGTCGTCTCGAAGGTGTTGACAGGATGGTCCTGGTTGTAATGGAGAGAAGTGTGAATCCACCTTCGGACATTTTGCACACGAGACGTGAGGTTCATGATCATCAAGGTGTCCAGAGTATCGACAATTATCCAGCCCAATCCGGCCTTGCCCCTGATCATATTCTCCCCTTTTTTGCTAACGGGTTTATATATATCATAACCTGCAATTATAAAAAGAGGTTCAGGTCAGCCTTAAATCCTTTCAGTCAAATGCCACAGAAAATTCCCTCCCCAACTCGCAAACATACCCCAAGCATGACGCGCATAATCATCCCAACTGACTATAAGCGCATCGCGCACCTTCTCCCTCCTCTCCGCCCAATCAACACTCCCTTTTTTCTCGCCGGCCTCCCGCCCCTTGGCAACCTTCACCCAATTCCACAAGTTCCCCCCATGTTTCCCGCGCTGCGCTCTCTCCATCGGCGACGGCGCCGTGTTGCTCACCAACATCCACACGATGCCCAGAAAAACCAGCCCAGCGACAACCCAGCCAATCCTACGCCGTCTTCTCCTAGAGCGCCCCGCTGCATAGTACGGCTTGTCCTTGTACATGGGTAGATCGTCGTTGTTCGGGTTCACGAAGCTGTTGAAGGAGAAGTCGCTGTTTCGAGCATTTGTTCTTTTGGAGCGCCAGGAGCCATCCTCATATTGGCGTTGGGAGGAGGTGAAGGAGGGTACGTTGCGCGGGAGTTGGAAGGCCATTTCCTCGGTTATTTGCTATTTCTTCTTGTGACTGTGCCAGTTTACGCAATGGGAGGAAGAGGGGGCCTTTTTTGTTGCTCCCGCCGTCCGAAGGACGACAAATGTCGTTGATATGTGTTCGTCGTGCCCCGTCAGTCTGGTGTATGGTCCTCGCAATGAACAGCTAGTTATACGGTTATTTTACGCGTCGAAACCAAAATAAAAATAATAGTAGAGCCGTAGAAGTATGTATATCCGCGCAAACTGTTTTGTAATGGTCAGTAAAGATGCTCTGCTTTTCTTGCTATTATGCACAAGGGTTTAGGTCATTCTGCTTCTTCACTCCTGTCCTTTACGTGCATCATAAAATATTGAAATCTATGCTTCAAACATTGAAATTCACCAAATTCTGATTTATTTTCTCCAGCCACAGGGAAGGCAAAAGTTTGGATATATCTCTGGCAAAAGCTTGTCGTTCTTAGTGGAATATTTGGACCCAAAAAAACAAAAGAAAAAAGAAAAAAGAAACCACCACCACCAGTGTCGTCATTCGTCAGAGTAGAAATTGCTGATAATCTGGTTCCTCCGTACTGCTAACAATGGGACTGGATTGCGCAGCCATGGTTTTGGGAGGGAGGATTGGGTTGGAAATGGAGATTTGGTAGGTAGATCGATGGATGGCTCTCGCTCATGGACAGACACAATGCGGCCTAAAAGCCAGCGGGATGCTGGGAGTAGCTATCCCTCCTCTTTCTAAGCAACCTACGTCTCTATTGAGGGTTGTTCTGTATTAATATTGCGAGAAACTGGGAGATATGCAGAGTTGCCCATCGTAAATTACAAGGACAAAGAGGCGCAGCAATGTTCCTCTCGCTTGCAAGTAGTCTAAACAGCTGCTGGTGGATGTTTGTCATGTTTTGCCAGCAGATTAACTATGTGAAAATGTCTCCTTTCATGCTGTTCACTTAGTTATATGCTTGAATGAATTGATGAGTCAAAATAATTATTTATAGTTACAAAATGTCTATCAGACTTTTTTTCTATGTGAATATAGTGAGATGCTGATGCATCTGATTAAGAAGAATTTGATCTCTCACACATCTCTTTAAGCTCTTGATGGTAGTGATTTTAAACCCTTACCCATAACGAACTCTAATTCTAATCCCTAATCCCAACCTACTCCTGGCCCATAATCTACCCCTAAATCTGGTATTGAGGCTTGTGACGATGAATGAGTTCCACATATCATGGGAGGGTGGTGCCGCCACGGCACCTTGGGACAACACCTCGCGGGTATGACAATATCAGCTTTTGCATATAGTCTGTTGTACACTAATCCTTGGATTTGCTACAACCAGGGATTATCATTTAAGAGGTAAGATATTAAAAAAAGGATGAATGATGCAAATTTGCTTGATGATTCTACTCTCTCAAGGCAAATGCAGATCAAGCCATGCCCGTTCGACTTTACACGAGCTCCCCGTGGGTTTTTTGGGGGGGGAACGCAAAAGTACCAGAACCGTAAACCACAATAAGAACCATAGCAGGATACGGGATATTACAGTTTCTGGTACTCCAATTTACCCTCCAGCTTCTTCGACTCAGCGACCTTGCGCACAGCCTTGTT